GAGGTTGAAAGAGAAAGCGCCCATGATCACGCAGCCTCTACTGGATGCTCAGCGCGCCGCCATGACAAATGATAGCATGGGCCTCAGCCGCTTGTCGGCGGAACGGGCTGCTACGAGCGACTGCGCAGAGCGCGCAGGAGAGCTGGCTGCAAACAGTGATGTCGCGATTCCAGAAGCAGAATGGCGCACCTTTAGCAAGCCATCTGCAGCGATGGCGCGGAAGGTTGCTGCGTCTGAAAAGTCTGCCGGTGGATTCAAGCTGGCGCCGGAGCAATTGTCTGCTTAGAGTCTGCTTGCAGATGGTTTGGTGAGGCAATGGATGTAGCTTTACAGGAAGAAGAGAACAATACACCTTTGCGAAACCGTGCGCAGCACGCATGCCTTTTGATTGGCGCCGGTGGCACTGACAAGACGACAATCATTTTAGAGCTCATGCTGGATGTTTTTTGTCGCTTTTTTCCAGCCAGACCCGGAGAAGAAGAGCGATACATGATTGCCACCTTCAGCCACGCCCAATCGGATGCCATTTCCAATGATATGTCTATCGCGCGCGAACATGTCATACTGCTTGCTCGTATCGTGTAGCCAGTTTGCGCAACAAGCATTTGGCCTTGAAGACAAAAGAGCAAGAGATGAAACAACGCTGGCAGCCTAAAATTTTGGTCATTCAAGATGAAACCAGTTTGGTGCCAGCTGCAGTGGAAAACATGATGCTTTACCGCAGCATGCGCGCCCGTCAAGATGAAGGCCTTGATCCAGCCAGCTATTTCCACCCAGGAGAGCTCATGGGACACATACCAATTTTGCTGATTGCAGGTGATTTTTTGCAGATCAAGCCTGCCAACGAGATCTCCTTAGCTGACAATCTCGAAGAGCTGATCCGCAAAATGCCGCACAGAGTGCAGACAGAACACCATGCTGCCCAGGCGGCATTGATGACCATTGATACAGTGATTCATTTGAAGAAGTCGAAGCGGTTTCTGGATGCTCACCTGCCAGAAATCACAACAGCCATGCGCACGTGCACGCCTGCTGCTCCTTTGTCCGAGGATCACTTGGCTCAGCTGCGCACTCGCAAAATCGAAAATTGCAAGAAAGAACTAACCACGGACTTGTTCAAGCATGGTCACGTCATTGGAATGTATTGGGAGAACATTGCTCGCAGCATGGTGGAACGGGCAAATCGAGATGCGCAAGACCTGGATGTGCCGTTATTTTGTTTGCAAGCTGCTGACCAAAGGCATTCCAGAAAAAATAAAGCCATAGACAAGCAGCTGACACATCAGCTGCTCACTGTTCCAAACCCGCATCGCACTGGCAAATTGCAAGGCATGCTACTGGTGCACGAGAACATGGTTGTGCGACTGGCGGATGTCTTGGCTCCACACCTTGGATTGGTTAAAGACAAACTGGCAGTGGTAGTGAAAGTGGATTTGCACCATGAAGATCAGAAGCGCCTGGACCGTCGGGAACCTGGATTCTGTCATTTTTTTCCGGACTACATGGCCAAAGGTATCTGGGTGAAATTACTTAAAGGAAAGAATTCGCCCATGGAAGATGCTCTGTTGCAGACGTGGGAAGAAAAGTTTCAGAATGTGGCCGATCACACAACTGACGCAAAGACATTGTTCTTTGTGGAATTGGTGCATGCAGAGTTCAAAATTGATTTGAAGCTAGGCGAGGAAACCGAGAAAATTGAAGTGATTCGCTGGCAGTTTCCTCTTTTGCATGGCATGCTGCGCACTGCTTACAGCGCGCAAGGCTTGACTTTGGACGGAGGTGTGCTGGTTGATTTGCGTCGTGGTGGTGGCCTAGAGGATGCCGACTGGTGGCTAGCCATCTATGTCATGCTGACGCGTGCCCGCAAACTGAAGAATCTCATCTTGCTGGGGTTCACGGAGCAAGTGGAGGAGCTTTTACGCAGAGGCCCTCCTACCTACTTGCGAGAACTGACTGACAAGTTGGAAACCAAAGCTGCTTCGACGCTGGAGCGGCTGCAGTCCTGGCCTGTCTATGATGCATTGCAAGCATCCTGACACAGTGCTCTGCCAGTGGGACCTAATCGGTTTTGACTGAAGAGGTCCGGGGGAGGCATAGGCCTGACACGTTGCTCTACCTGTGGGACCTAATCGGTTTTGATTGAAGAGGTCTGGTGGAGGAATAGAGAGTTGCAGCTGCAGCGATCTGGTGAAGTAACACTGGCATGGTTTTGTCTAGTTTACACACGAGCTTGCGAGCTTTTCACTTTGGTTCAGGTGGTCCACTGGCTTGTTTCAGTCATGTTTTTACAAACGTGTTTGACAGGCGGTGTGCTGACATGTTTGGGCATGTTTGTTTGTTTGGCTCAGGTGGTCCACTGGCCTGTTTGGTCATGTTTAAGCAAACCTGTTGAGAGCTCTGGAGTTTACTTCACATGGCCCACTGACATGTTTATATCCTGTTTGACAGACTGACATGCACAATGACCTGCCAGGTGAAACAAATGATTGGGATAGTTAGTTGGGCAAAAGTCCCGTGACAAAAGCTTCAGACAAAAGTGGTGTCAACAAGCTGTTTTGAAATGTCATGGTGGGGATCACTCGAAGCAAAGTAATTATTTTATGCGTCTATACTTATTTTTTTGAATGTTGGTAGGTGGCAGATCCAAGCAGGTAGCGGCATATTAGCGGCATGAGTTGAATTTTTAAGGAGGGCACCAACATGCACCAACTCTAGCCGCACCAGTTGCAGCAATGGATTACTGGCACCGACTGTCACCACTGAAGCAAAATGCATATTGGAGGCGATGCTTTTTTGCCTGCGCTCATTGCAGGCAGAACCGCTTCAGCAGTTCTTTGAGAAGCCGGGGGAGGAACCGCAGCCCCCGCAGGCTTGCCAGATTTGAAAACGTAGTCTTGGATGTTGCTCATGGCATTTTCGTGTCGACCAGAGGGCCCATGGCACCACCCTTGACCCTGGTCATGATTCACACAACGACATGAGAGGAGACAGCCTTTCAAATGTTTGTTTTGTAGAGTGGTTCCACAAGAAATTTGAGTCGTGGCGGATCGTCACAAAGATGACTTCTCACCCCTGCAAATACCTTGGACGATACATCGTTGTCATTGAGCACCTAGTGGCCTAGCCTTCACATGCCTTCACTGGGGCAAGAATGTCAAACATTGTCACACTTCAGAGTTGGAAGTTGGCAAAGTGGACTGACACAAGCAGATTCAGCCAAACTTTTCACATCTCTATATATCTCTATGAACTTTCAGGATGGCTTCTCCAAGTTGCTGCAGGACAGGGGCAGGGTCGGAATGAGCCTTGTCAGCTCGTTACGGGCCAATTTGCTTGACCCTGCACAAGTGCCAGTCGAAAATTGCACGCCAGGAGTGGTTGGAAGGCGCCACTGTCATATTCTCAGTATTTCTCAATTCTGATATGTTCTGATGCAATTGGGGTCATTTTAGTGAAAGGGTTGTCACGCTGTCTCATGTTGCAAGGCCGTCCATGCATTGAGGGTTGAACTGCGTCTTAGTGGAGGTTTTGGTCACATGTGGTCACTTTGGACATGAGTTGAGATTGGGGTGGGGCCTGGGCGGATGATGTCAGCCCCTATACTCCTTGGACCTTGGAAAGTCGTGGTGACAGCAGCATGATCCAAGGCCTTTCTGGCACTGGGTTGCTGCGGCAGGCGGCAAAGAGAGGTGCAGTAGAATTTCTACAACACCTCTCTTTGCCAATGAGCGCCGTGGGGCTTCCGGGCATCGCAGGTAGCTGAGCAGGGCGTCCAAATTTCATCCTTGCCCGCATCAATGAGAAAATGGGATGTCTAGGAACATTGTCAAGTTTTGTATTTTATAATGTCAGTACATGATGTCTGGATATGTATTTCACAAACACACACAACCCAATGTCTGGGGATTGGTAAATGAAATCCACGTACCACTGCAGCCCTGCATGCTGCGGGAAATCTCTGCAGCATATTGATTTAATGATTTGCCGCAGCTTCAGTCAGCATTTGTCACACCTTTGCTGAGCTTCTTTGGGGCGCCAAGATTTCCAAAATACACACTGTCAAATGTTCGCTGACCATTTCATGTGAATCTCATGCAGCTTGGTACAGGTGGTCACTCTGGCATGTTTACGTTTCACCCGCAGCCGTGGAGGGTCCGAGATCTCATTTGTGAAAAGGCTTCGAGCTAAGACTGCGCTGCGCCTCCTTTACCCCTAGCTGTTGCTATCCATCGGATTCTAGAACTTCGTGTGTCTACTGGGAAATCCTGAAGTTGGCGGCGGAGCTATTGGTGACCCAGAGCAATCTTTGGCGCTTCAACTGAAACTTTGGTCCTGTGCAGGCCAGAGCTGAGTCGACCCTGAGCAGGTCCAAGGACTTTGACATCTGACCCTGGGCAGGTCCTTCCTCTTACTGCGTTGCTCTACTTTTGCTGGTGCTGACCCTGAGCAGGTCCTTATAATATCTGATTTTTGGTCTTGTGCAGGCCAGAGCTGATCTGATGGCGACTGGATCGGGTGCGAGCACTACATATGCTGGTAAGGCTCATGAACATATCCCTGAGTTTTCTGGAAAATCTGGCGACTACAAGGAGTACAGAAAACGCCTCCTGTTGTATGACAAGAAGATGAAACTGGCCAACAGGGGTGGCGAGACTTCCTTCAATGTCCTTAGTTCACTCAAAGGACGAGCTTGGGATGCCTGTGATGATATCAGCATGCAAGAGCTTGAGGGCGACGGTGGTATGAAGTTGATTTTGGAGCGACTAGATCGAGTGTTCAAATTTGATGCCATTACTGAACTACCCGCAGATTTTGAGACGTTCTTCATTGGTCTTTCGAGACGCAAGTCCCAGAACATCCAAGAATATTCTGCAGAATTTGAACGAGCTTTGCGAAAGTTACAACAACACCAAGTTCAACTACCTGACAAAGTTGTCGGATGGTGGTATCTGAGGAGAGCTGGACTTAGCAAAGAACAGAGACAAATGATCATGACCACTATGGATGGTGAAAAGCTTTCTTTGGAGGCTGTCCGCAAAGGTGTGAACTTCGTCATCGGTCAAGACACAGTTCCTGATGCACATTCTTCCAATGCTGGACGATGGAATCGCAGTGGCAAAGACTCCATCTACTATGAGGACGATGCTGAATACTATGATGATTGGGAAGAATGGGAACATGATGAAGATGACATCCAATGTGCAGATGAGGGAGCTTCATACTATGAGGATGATGAATGTGAAGAGACCTATGCAGCCCATGAGGATGCAGCGACCGAGTACGATGAGGTGTTGGCAAACTACGTCGAAGCCAAGCAGAAACTGGCACAGCTTCGTGTCTCACGCGGCTTTTTCCCAGTTGTGGCTTTGGCACCAGATGGCCGAGGACATGGTGGAAAAGGATCTTCAAAGGGCAAGCATGTCAAGGGCAAGGGTAAAACCAAGTCCAAGCAATTGCCTCGACCTCCTCCACGCCCCAAAGAACGTGGTCGAGCAGCCCTTGGAAGTTCAAGAGTTGGTGCGAGCAAGTGCCTTCGTTGTGGACAAGCAGGCCATTGGGCACGAGACTGTCCGACGGCTGGAGCTGGAAAACGCAAAGCAGAGACTGAGGTAGGTGACGCTATGATGGTAACATTTGCAGAATCCACACTGAAGCTTGACGAGAGCTCAGATGCAACGATGTTGGATTGTGGTGCAGCTTCCGTGATTGCATCAAAGTTTCAACTCAGAAAGTATGTCAACTTCCTCAAAGCGGTTGGCTTCAAGGTGGATGCAATCCCTGTCTGGCGTTGCAACAAAGGTTTTCGGTTTGGAAATGGCAACATGAACACCACGCAATGGTGCACACTACTCCCCACTTTCTTTGGTGGTGTGCGGCGCGACTTCTTGGCCTATGTCATTGAAGGCGAGGCGCCGATCCTGCTGGGAAGGCCGTTGATGGAGGCCATGGACTTAAGTGTCAACTATGCCCAAGGAGAGATCAGGTTTGGAACCGACCCTTGGATCCCAGCAGAGAGAGGTTTGAAGGGTGAGTACATCATTCACCTGGCAGCTGATGTACATGGTTTGCTGGATGTGGAACCCCAGTTTGTCTTCCTCCCTGAGGACTTTGACAGCCAAGTGCAGCCCGTACAGAACAGCATGGATCAGTTGTTGGACAACGAGGAAATCCTGGCTGTGGAGCCCAATCACGATGCTGATCAGGATCTACAACCAGATTCGCAGCAAGTTTCACAGAATTTGATTTTTGCAGAGCACAAGAGCGACAATGATCTCAAAGAACCCCACGATGCAAGTTTCACTTCAACAACTCATGCTGGCGAATGCAATGAGACTCCAATGACAGCGGCAGAACAACCACCTGTGCAAGATGCTTCAGCTGAGGTGGACAAATCCAAGAACGAGCACAAGAGCCTTGACTATGACTTGTGCCACCTCCCACCTGGCAAACTACGACATCTCATGCACTTGACTGCCAAGGACAAGAAAGAGTTTGATCGAATCTTGTCTTGCGCTTCAACTGGTGGAAATGTTGGAAAGAAGAAGCCTTACGTCATTTGGGAGATTTTTGCAGGTGCTGGCAGAGTGACCAAGACAGCGAACAGACGAAATGGTTGCAAAGCTGAACGATTTTCCTTAGAAGATGGCTGGGACTTCAACATTGCGAGTCATCGCAAAGCCTACTTCAAACGCCTGAAACAAGAACAGCCTGACTGTTGCCTGGTCATGCCCCCATGCAAGCTGTGGTCTATGTTGCAAGAGTTGACAGTGGCCAAACACCCAGACTATACGGCCAAGTTGACAGCCCTGCGACAGGAGAACCATGACAACCTCCTGACCTTTGCAGCTTTGGTGTATGAGTACCAGCGGAGAAATGGAAAGCTTGGAGTTGCAGAACATCCACTAAAGTCACGTGCGTGGAGCACGAAAGCCTTCAAGAAGATGCAAGGATTTGACACACACATGTGGATCAATGTTGCTATGGTCTTCAACTTCCAGATGACTCCGGTGTGGTCAACCCAGTGCAGAAACCAACTTGTTTCAGAGCGACGGGAAAGATGTTTCATGACCTTCTTCAGTGCCAATGCGATGGACAACATCGACACACCAGACTTGAAGGTTCAATCCCTGGAGTCGGACTTCGGTCCAAACTGGCTGAGGACTTTCCTCAAGAGCTTGCGACGGCCATTGTGGATGCGATTTGCGCTCAATTGGACTATGACACTGCCAAGATCTATGCGAACGATGCAGGTGATGTTGCACTGAGCCCTGCTGAAGAGTTTGCAGAGATGGTTGAGCAACATCAACGAGAACAACACTTACAACAAGAACAAGATGTTGAGGTTGAGCAGACTGAGCAGAATGACCCAGTTGGACTCAATAAAGCCCTGCGGAAAAGAGTTGGTGGAAGAGCAGTAGACTATGTCCAGCGGCTCCACAAGAACCTTGGCCATCCTTCTCATGGCGTGCTGGAAAAGATGCTTGCGGAAGTTCAGGCAACCTCCAATGTGCTTGAGGCTGCAAGAAGCTATGTATGTCCAGCGTGCTATGCCAGAAAGCCCCCTTTTCAAAATCCTCCTGCTTCAAGCCTGAAATGCACCGAGTTCAATGACCGCATTTTGGTCGATTCTCACTGGATTCAATGCGAGGACAGCATCATCAAAAGAGCTGAACCCGCACCTGGAACTCCTGCGCACAAGCGAAGGGAGAAGAACAAAGCCGAGAAAGCCTTCTCTGGTCGTCAATGTGTTCTCACCATCATTGACCATGCAACCAGGTTTTGCTCAGTGAGAATTCTCAAACCTGAACGTGCAGATGAGTTTACAAAAGGTTTGGAGAGAGCATGGATCAAGCACTTTGGTTTGCCTCGTTTGCTGAGGATCGACGAAGCCAAAGGATGGGCCTCAAAACACGTGCGTGAGTGGGCAGCTTCCAGAGGAATAGAACTAGAAGTTCAACCAGCTGAGAATCACCCCTGGCTCTCAGTTGTTGAGAGGAAACACCAAGTTGTTCGACGAGCACTTGAGCTCTACCAGGACGACATCGGCAAACATGATGTTGCAGCGTTGAAAGAAGCATGCATCTACGTGCCTCACTCCATCAACCAGCTGAGCTTCCACCGTGGTTTCTCACCGCAACAATGGGTGCTGGGCAAAGCCATGAACTATACCCCATGGTTTAAGTGGCGAAATCTTCAATCCTGGTCAAGAAGCGTTGGATGACCAAGTTTCCCAAAAAAGTGAGCTGCAGGTGCCAGTATTGTGGTTTCAGAACCCCGTCATTCTATACATAAAGGTCCCCTCCACGCGTTGGATGACCAAGGAGCTTTTGCAAATGTGCAGCAGAAGCGAGTGAACGCAGCACAAGCTTTCATTCGAGCTGACTCTGATGCAAAACTTCGCCGAGCTTTTACCCAGAAGTTTGTGGAGAACCGAGATGAAGTGGTGGTAGGCCAAGGGTGTTGGTATTGGCGTGATGCTGGTGCTGGCATTTTGAGAAAAGCAAGATGGAGAGGTCCCGCACGGGTTGTGGCAGTTGAACCTGTGGGAGATTCCAAAGTTTTGTGGTTGTGCCATGGAACTTCTTTGGTGCGTTGTGGACCACGACAAGTTCGACCAGTTGTTGAAGAAACAGGTGTTGCAGTTCCTGCTGATCGAGCAGCAGCCATGCGTGACCTTGAAGAGCTGAAAGCAAGGTCAACAACCCAGTTCAAAGATGCTTTGAAACGAGCTGGTGGCAACCCTGACGTTGATGAGCTGATGGGAGATGAGAACGAAATTGAGGCGGAGTATGAACCGTCCATATACCAAGGTGATCTACCGCATGATGCGGAGACTTCAGATGAGTCACCACAAGGCTCACGACCTGGAGTTGTTCAGATGTTTTTCCCACAACCTCCTCAACAACAACAGCATGATGATGGTTCAGAACGTGGCCGTGAAAGATCTCCAAGACGCCGTCTAGCGTCTGATGCGTCTACAACTTTGCCTATGGCATGGTTTTGGAACGACCTGCAGCTGAAGAACGAGTTGTCAGCGGTTCACCAAAACGCAAAGAACATGCAGCACTTCCTGAAGAAGAAAGTCACAAGAAACCTAGAGGTGATGTGGCCAGATCTTCTACTTCAACCCCAGCTGAGATTGCCGACGCAGCAGTCACTCAAGCAGCTATAGAGACACCTGTCCCTGTAGATGATGACTTGGTGATTGACGTCATGATGGTGGATGACGGCGGCGATTTGCCTGATGGTTGGAAATGTGTTGATGGCGCGTTGGAAATGGATGACAGCTACATGGTGCAGTTGCGCAAGGGTGAGGTCAACATGAAACTTCTCTCACCTGAAGAAAGAGCTGACTTTGTCGATGCAAAACGGAAAGAATTGGAGAACTACTTTGCAAATTTTGTTTGGGAGTTTGCAAGTGACAAGGAAAAGAAAGATGCGGAGAAAGATCAACGTGTGATCACCGCCCGTTGGGTGCTGACATGGAAATGCGAGGATGAGAATGCAGAGGTGCCCAAATGGAAAGCAAAGGCAAGACTTGTCTTACGTGGCTATGAGGATCCTGATGTGATGACGCTTAACAAAGCTTCACCGACGGCATCAAGACAGGCAAGGCTATGGTTGTTAACTTTGACAAAGTGGAACAGCTGGCAACTGATCTGTGCCGACGTGAAAGCAGCTTTTCTGCCAGGTAGCAACTTTGACAGAGTCATCATTGTCCGTCTTCCTGCTGACTGTGGCCCCTTACTTGGTGTGAACCTGGAAGGAATCGCAAAGCATGTCTTCATGAGGCTGAAGAAAAGTGCATACGGTCTTTCCGATGCTCCTTTGCTTTGGTATCAAGAGGCCAGCAGACGACTGACAGAGATGGGATGGATCAAACACCCCATGGATCAATGTTGTTTCATGTTGGTGGCAAACGACAAGCACTCAAGCCATGGAAGTTTGCGTGGAATGATGATTTTACATGTTGATGATGTTTTGGTAACTGGATGCCCTACAGACAAAGTTTTCCAAGACGCAGTCAAAAGCCTGCGACAGCAATTCAACTTTGGCAAATGGGATGTTTTGACCCCAACACATTCCTTGAAATACTGTGGCGGCACCATTATCTAGAATGAGCACGGCATTGAGGTTTCCTATGCTGAATACATGAAGCGCATTAGCCCTGTGACAATTCAGAAAGGCAGAAAAGATGACCAATCACTGAACATGAGCAGAGCAAAGCGCGTGGCCTGATCGGTGCACTGCAGTGGCCAGCAACTCAAGGCTTACCGATGTTGGCGGCTTCAATGTCAATTCAAGCTGGAGAACTGGCAGGTGCAAAGATCAAGGAGCTGACAGAGCTCAACAAAACCCTACGTTTTGGAAAAGCCCATGCAGATGTCAATTTGAAGTTTTTGGCAGCAAGCTCTTCACAGTCTTTTGGTTTGGATGGTTTGACACTTGTTTGCCTGCTATGCAGACGCAGCTTTCTGTGTGCGAAGTGACAAGACATCACAAGGTGGTTATGTGCTGATGGCATGTGATGCTTCTGTTTTGAAAGGCAAGAAAGTTCCTGCTTCGATTGTTGGCTGGCGTTCATTCAAATTACCCAGAGTATGCCGTTCCTCACTAGCGGCAGAATGCCAAGCATGTTCTACAGCGTTGGAAGAACTGATGATGGCAAAACTGTTTTTACAACTTTTGAAGAATCCCTGCAGCAGTTTGCGTGAAGCCCGTGATCAACTTCATGGAGAAGAATGCGCAATGGTGACAGACTGCAAAGGATTGTTTGATGCTGTAAAGCGCGAGACGGTGCAGCAAGCAACCGACAAGCGTGTGGCCATCGAAGGACTTTTGATCAAGGACATGTTGCGTGATTTGAACTGCCAATGGAGATAGGTGAGCAGCGAGCGTCAACTTGCTGATGGTTTGACAAAGGTTGGTGCAAGAGTAGCTTTTGTCGAGCGTTTTCGAGGAGCACACATTCAACTTGTGGCAGATGAAAGCTATCAAGCAAGCAAGAAAAAGACCAAAGCCGATCGAGAAAGAACAATTCAAGAAACCCATGGATCTACATCTCGAACTGCAAGAGCGCTGATTGCAATGGTGATTGCTGAACAGCTTCAAGTGTCCGAGCAGACTGGATTGGTTGTGCATGGAGCTGAGCATGCGAGCGTGGCGACTGAGTATGACATGAAGTTCATTTGCGCACTGGCGCTAGCACTGTTCTTGGTGTTCCTGACCTTCATTTGGTTTGCATGCCCTGGCATTTGTTCTCGGAGGACAAGGTCAACTGAAGGGCCGGATTTGCATGAGCTGTGTTTGTCTTTAGACAGTAATTTCCGAGCGTGATGAGCTCAGAAGTTTTTGCAAGGTGCTCAAATATGAGCTGGCAGAGCTGAAAGCTCAACACCATAGGGATGAACAGATTATGGGTAGGAATGCATGTGAGTTGGACGATCCGAGAGAGACCAGAAAGGATCTCCGACTTACAGTAGGATCTTTGAAGAAGCGATGTGAAGATTTCACCATGGAGCTGCAAGCGGCCAGAGCTGCAGCTGTAGCAAATGTTTTCATTTGCCCACGAGGACGTGTGTGGCACAAGTGGAAGGAGTGTCCAATGCTTGGACAATCAGAACCATTGGAATATATATGAGCTGTGCATGAGATGTGCACAAACACACCTTCCACCGATGTCAAATGTTCGCTGACCATTTCATGTGAATCTCATGCAGCTTGGTACAGGTGGTCACTCTGGCATGTTTACGTTTCACCCGCAGCCGTGGAGGGTCCGAGATCTCATTTGTGAAAAGGCTTCGAGCTAAGACTGCGCTGCGCCTCCTTTACCCCTAGCTGTTGCTATCCATCGGATTGTAGAACTTCGTGTGTCTACTGGGAAATCCTGAAGCACACCATTTGATCCATTGGTCGATTGGTCCATGTGTCCAAAAGACCCATGCGAAGACCATTGGTTTATTTTGCTCTCTCTTCTGCAGTGGTATAGCTTTCATATTTGCCCAGCGCATTCAGCTCAGCAAGAAGACACAAAGTCTGGAAGCCATTGTTGCTGTGATTGCGTGCGTGTGACCACCAAAGAGGAAAACAGGCGTTCCCCACTGAAGCTTGAATTTTCTTTCCAACCCCGCATCTTCACCGTTCGATATGCTCACTTCAGCAATAGTTTTGAAGCTCGGACGACCTCCACCTGTCCGCTTGTCACAGGGATGATACTGGAAAAGAGTCTAAGTTTCCTGGTAGGACCATGGAAAAAATATAAAATTGAGGGACAAATAATTTGAGGTTCCCCTGGTCTGGGCCCCCTGTCTGCTCCTTTACCCTCCTCGTCCTTTGATCTCTGGAACTTACCCTATATAAGCCCGAAAGCCACCTTGAACAGGCCACAAACCAACCCTCAATAAGTGAAGTTTTCCGAATTCTTTTCAGCCTGCCATCCATCACGTCCTCATGATGAACACAGCTGAAACTGATTGCAGTGATCTTCACCACCGTACTGGCCTGAAGCTTATCTGAGCTGAATCTGAAGCTGCGCAAGAGCGGTGATGACATCTCGGACTCCTTCGGCATGCGCGATCAGATGGGTCCGGAACCACATTTGATTAAGTTGGCCATGGCGGATCTGGAGATGAGCACTCCGGCTGCATCAGTGACTTCAGACATGGTCAATGGCAACTTGATGGAGATCAAAGGGAAGATGTTGCAGTGGGGCATCCAAACGTCAATTGCCTTGAAATGCCCTGAGCATGCCCGACAGCCAATACATGGAGCAGTTGAAGGAGAACGGACCAGCGGATCACCCCAAGATCGATCCCAAGGAGATTCCAGTGCGCCAAGTCATGGGCTATCCCCTGAAGAATGTCAACAGCAACAGCCCTCCATCCCGAGCTCTGGGTCCAGAGGAGGAACGGGCAGTTCAGAGCCAGCCATCTGCCACAATAATTCCAAGTGCAAAGTCAGCGGTTGCGAAGAAAGCCCCAAGTCCGACTCCCAAGGTGCCAGTCAAGAAGGAGAAGCCGACCCCACCAGAGCTGATGGAGATCCACTCCAGCGACAGCGAGGGATCATGGAAGGTCACACCTACACCTTCGGATCAGCATGGAAAGCTTTGAATGACCTAAAGAAAGGGATGAAAGAGGTTGCAAGTGCCCATGACACAAGAGCAATGTGACACTACGAAAAAATCACAAACACACAAAAATGGCATTATGTTCAGTGGCCCTGCAGAAAGCGACGCCAATCCTATGAACCATGAGGTGGACTCTTTGATGACTTCACCTCACACGTGCACTACGTGCGGAGCTATTTCTACATCAGGGCCAAGTTCCGTGTCCTTGTGGAATACGGTGTCTTCTTGTCCTTCTTCCCAAACTAAAGTTGGAGGGAGATTGGCATGCCGCCTCGCAACGAATGCGGCAGTTCTTGCAACTTTGGTGTTGTCTCCGGTGAAAGGATTTTTTGGACATCTTCAGGGAGTACCAGACTTCATGGACAATTTTCCAGCCATACAGAGGAGATCCGTGAGGAACTGGGAGAAGTGAAGGACCAGCTAAGGACACCACACAAAGGGTAGGCAAGCTTGAAGAGGAACCACACAGAGCACCTCTCCCTACTGGCCCTCACAGCAAACAAATGGAAGCTCCTAGGTGGGGGTGGCTTGGCTCCACTAAGCGGGATGACTTGATCCATGACACTGCCCATCTCATCGAGGTTGCAAAGGTGAGGACCTAGTGGAGAATGGTGGTCTCAAGCAAACGCCGTTCATGTGTCGTTCTGAGCCAGCATCTGGAAGGTGGTCGGTTGAACCACACACCGCACTTTGGACAGCCCCATCCAAAATTGGTCGACTGGGCCACTTGGAACGTCGCGGCCAAGCCTTTACTTTTGGGCCGCCATTGGCCGCTGCATTTGGGGCCTCAGGGCACAAGCCGTTCTCCTCCACAAGTAGTCCTTCAAGCGTGTTCTACAACTAGGCTTGCTCGGCCAAACTCTTTGGTGCATTGCTGAGTATAAGCCTTGGCAAAATTTTCCTGTGCTCTTTCCACTTGCCACGGGGCTGCCGGCCACTTCATACCAGACAGAAGGGGCTCTCCAATCTCCAAAACTGTTGTTGCAAATCCCATGGCCTCCCTTCACTCATAAGCGGTGATGCGAACTGCCGCTTAGACCAGGTAGGGCTCGACATGTTTGCCCTGGTGAGCCTGCATGAAAGGGGGGCAGCTTTTTCTCCCACAGAAGCCTTTACACAGAGCAGCTCATACACACAGAAGCGTTTACACAGAGAAGTCTTTATACACAGAAGCTTTGACAAATTGCAGCATTTACACAAAGGCCTTTTACACATAGACGCTTTGACACAGAGCAGCTTTCACACACACACAGAAGTTTTTACACATAGCAGGTTTACACACAGAACATATCACACAGAGCCGACTTTCCACACAGACGCTACACAGAGCAGCCTTTACACAGAGACGCTTTTACAGTTACACAGGAAAGCCTTTACACAGAGAGAAGCTTTTACACAACACAGCCTTTACACAAAGGCCTTTCAGACACAGACCCTTTTACACAGAGACGCCTTAAATAAAGGAGCTTTTAGACACAGAAACTTTTACATAAGAAGCCTTTACACCGAGCAGCTTTTACACACAGAAGTATTTTCACAGAGGGGCCTTTACATACAAAAAACTTTTACACAGACCTTGAGTGCCGCCTTCTGCACAAAGCAGCCGCCCAGCGCCGCCGCGGCGTCCCAGCGCCCAGACAGTCTACAGAGGGTCACCAAGTGCCGCGCTTGCCATGCGAAAGGTAGCGAGGAATGGAGACAAGTTGATAGAGAGAAGTGTTACTTAAAGTATGATAGAGATGAACGTGATAGATGTGATAGAGAGAAGAGAAGTTGATAGAGATGACTGTGATGTGAGGGAGGATGGTGGAGAGGAGGGCGAGGAGGATGCGGATTGCCAGCAAAAAAATAAGAACCACACACCGTGACGTGGAGAGAAAATTTGTAGGAATTATTTAAGAAAAAAGGCGTGCTGTGTGCCGTCTTGCTTTTGGGTTCTATGGCCCACCTTGTTTTGAAACTTGGGCGACTTCATTTGATGGGAAGCACGCCACCTGTCCGCTTGTCACTGGCCAACTTTGGCCATTTACAAGTAGTTAAACACAAACATTTGCAGATATAGTCTGCCCTGATAAGATAAGAGAACATGATATGATATGATATGACATGATATGATACGACATGAAATGAAATGAAATGATTTCTCAAGTCCGCGTTACAGTCACAAGCATGATCAGACATGTGTAGCTTGGTGGGAATGCAGATGAGAACACATCGCTGCGCAGCTTCTCAAGCTCAAATGTAAAAACATGGTGTAGCTCAACACTATTACTTGCGCGCGTGCATCAAGAACATTTTGTCAAGGTCACTGGTGCAATTTTCCCGGAATGGTGTCGTGCAAGAAAGCTTTAAGGCCAGTTCATACAAGAATTCCCGCCAAGCCCCAGCTTTTGCTACTAAAACCCATCACCCTCAGCACTTTCGTTTTCGCTTCATCAAACCCTGCCTGAGCACGCAGAGGGGCAGAAGAGCCTCGACTGCAAGCAGCGAGGCTGTGGAAAGGATCGACGTGCTTCCAGGATGCGTGCTGTCTAGATGTTCAAGCATGCCAACAGACCTAGGGGCCAGTGCGAGGGCTGGCCATGAGTTGAAATTCAAGTCATGCTCAAGATGTGTTGGCATTGATTGCCCCGGCCGTGACTCCATGAAGTTACTAGTTGTAGCTACTCCCCAGTGAGAGGTCGTAGCGTTTTCATAAATGGTGCGTCCTAGGTGGCAGGTGGAGGAGTTAGCGTATTTCTGGAAATTGATACGATTCTGTGTCTAGTTTGTGTTTTGTATGTTCTGGTTTTTTGGTGTTGTGGCATTTTGCAGCTGATACGTACAGATCGGGCTTTTTACGAAAGCCAGCCGGACAAGCTGGCTAGTTGTTTTTTGCGAATGTAGTGAGAGAATGTGAGAGGTTAGGGGTTTGGGAGGAGGTGTGGCCAAACAGGCTAGTTTTTGCAGCCTCAGTTGGTGTTCAGGGTGGCCGGGGGGAGTGTTTTGCAGGGTAATGTACTAGGTTAATTAATTGCGGTTAAAAATTAGACCAATGATAGGGCTAAATAAGTAGACAAATAGAGCAATAGATAGGCAGATAACAGATGGATGGAGACCAGGCCGGGAGATGATAATTTATCGATAGCTGGATGACAGCTAGATAGAGAGGTTTAGAGAGGTAGCTAGATAGCTATATAGCTAGATAGATAGCTAGATAGCTAGATAGCTAGATAGCTAGATAGCTAGATAGCTAGATAGATAGATAGATAGATAGAGAGATAGAGAGATAGAGAGATAGAGATAGAAAAATCAATAGATAGGTAGATAAATAGATAGGTAGATAGATTGGTCGCACAAGATATCGCATGTGACTTTGACACCATTCCACAGCAGAACTGCTAAAGCCCAGAAACAAGGGCCTGCTGATAGCTAGATCAATGGATGAATGGATGGATGGATAGATAGACAGATAGATGGACAGACAGACAGATAGATAGATAGAAAGATAGATGGAAAGCTGAAAGGTAGATAGCTAGATAGCTAGATAGCTAGATAGCTAGATAGCTAGATAACTAGATAGCTAGATAGCTAGATAGCTAGATAGCTAGCTAGCTAGATAGATAGATAGATAGATGGATAGATAGATAGATAGATATATAGATAGTTTGAAAAATAGATAGCTAGACATCTAGATAGGTAGATAGATAGATAGATAGATAGATAGGCAGATCGATAGACAGACATACAGACAGATAGATATATAGATAGATAGATAGAAAGAAAGAAAGATAGATAGATAGATAGATAGATAGCTAGATAGCTAGATAGCTAGATAGCTAGATACCTAGATAGATAGATAGATAGATAGGTAGGTAGGTAGATAGATAGGATAGATTGGATAGATGGGATGGAATAGAGTAGAATAGAATAGAATAGAATAGAGAATAGAATAGAGAATAGAATAGAGAATAGAATGGAGAATAGAGAATAGAGTAGAATAGGATAGAAAAGAATAGAATAGAATAGAACGATAGATAGATTGGTTAATTAGATTCACTAATTACACTGATTAATGGAACAGATTAATTAGGAGGATTAATTAGATAGATAGATAGATAGATAGATAGATAGATCGATAGATAGATAGATAGTTAGATAGTTAGATAGATAGATCGATAGATAGATAGTTAGATAGTTAGATCGATAGATCGATAGATCGATCGATCGATAGATAGATAGATAGATCGATAGATAGATAGATAGATAGATAGTTGGAAGTTATGCTTAAGGATTTTGAATGGGAGAAAGGACCGCAGAGATGGGCGGCTACTATCCAGGCTGCGCTTCTAGAGACACCTTATGTTAAGGCCTGAACGGCGTGTTTCTTTTCTGAACTCTAATTTCGAAGGTGTTACGTGCTGGAATTGGCTGCGGTTGGGTATCGATTCCCCCTCGGTCTGGGTTTTCGTGGGTGAGCTAAGTAGTCAGTCAGCGAAATCGATAGAGCGATACGTAGCTGACCAACAGAGTTTTAGGAAGGCGACCGCTGGAGTAAGCGCAGTCGTGATGCTTGCGGGTTTACTGCAACTGGAGAACTCCAATTTGGAAGATGTTCCGCGCATGATGTTTAATATGTTTAATGCTCTCAGTCGTGATGCTTACAGGTTTGCTCCAACAGAATCAACAGAAGAACTCCAATTTTGAAGGTGTTACGCGCAGGAAGTTTGCTGCAATAGGGTATCGGTGCCCCCTCAATCCAGTTTCTAGCCAGTGAAACAAATAGATGAAAAAAATGTATTGCTCGAGAGACTGAAGATACGTAAGCCACCACCAGAGTTTCAGGATGTCTGCCTCAAAATTTCTGTGCATTTAGGGCTACGCTACAACCGGAGGATTTCCATGTTGAAGGCCTTACACGCAGGCAATTTGCTGTGCGCAGGGGTCTTCATTATGAGAGCTGGCTTTCGTTCCCCTTTTCTCAAGTGTTTCTTCAGTTTTTCAAGAGGTTGCACGGATTGGAGATTATCGTTGGTTTTGCCTTGGATGCTTTTGGACATTTCCATGCAACGCTTATGTTTGGTTGGTCTGGTGGCTCCAAGCTTTCAGGCCCAGATGAAAAGAAAATGCAAACAAACAGAGAGCAGGGAACCTCGAGAAATCTCAGGTTCGAATTGACCATGGACACTTAAACTGGGCTACAGTGAGCTGGAAGTCAAGGCCAACTGGCCAAACAATCAATATATCTTAGAGAAATCACAGACAAGGAGGTACCATAAACAGATATGCCATGAATAGTATGAAGGTATATGAAGGTTAAATTGTGAATTCTGCGCATCATTCATAAGGATATAATTCATCAATACATGTCAATAGAGTCAACATTATCCCAACTGTCAGCATCACTGCGCCCCTGAACCTGATACTCCCACTCAAGCCAGATTGACCCCCCAAAAAATTGGGGGTTTTGCTAATTTGTTTCCTGTAAACATCCCAAAAAAATCCTCAGGGAACCAATCAATTGAGAAGTAAAATCTCTTGAGCCAATTTGCTGCTTGTGCTGATGGTGGAGCACCATGCCGTCCGCACGTCCCTTGGGCGAGGCAGGGTGGATCTCTGATGATCTTTGTGGAGCTGGAGATGAATTTCGGATAGTTTTTGGACCCCCAAAAAGTGTTTAATACCGTTTAATACCACAAACAACCTGCAGTTTTAATGTGAAAAGTACAGGAACATGATGATCAACCATGATCGACCATGAGATTTTGGGTACCCAGATGTACCCTTAAATGTTTTTTTGATAAACCCACAGATGCCCTTGGTGATATCGGCATGGTGCAGTGGCAGGTGATCGACGACCTTGGGGTTGGATCATACCAAGTCCTGGTGGTGATGTTTTGCTCTGGGCTAATGCTGGCAGATGGGGCCATGATGCTGACACTTGACAAAACTCTTGATGACTGGAAGAGTTGATCCGAGAATGTGGTTTATAACTGACAAAACTGTTGGTATCTCTCATTTGACAGTAAATTATGCCATCAAATAGGATTTATAGTTCCTATAGTTGGGTAATATATGTTAATATTAGTGTTTGCTGCTATATGGATTTGTAAAATCTTGTGTCTCCAGCTTTCAATGCACACCAACTTGTCCCTGGCCATTGCGGCATTTGGTAAACGTCTTAACCATTTCCATGCGCGACATTGCTCAAAAGCCCTGGTGATGGGTAGCTGTGGGGTTATGCTACTGTTTGGCCATCATAATTCATAATCCAAGAATTGCCAGTAATGTATATATATAACTATTAACAATATAATATAATATAATATATATTATATTATATTATATTATATTATATTACATTATATTATATTATATTATATTATTATGATTCATCACGTTTGCCATGTCTCAACCCCAACATTGGTCCATATCCCATCGCGGGAGCCGAGGATGATCTCCTCTATTGTGGGAGCTTTGGATCAAGAGTTCCAAGCGGGTGAAATCACCAGAGGAGTCCTTGTGTCATAGCCTCAGCCGAAATAGCCGAAATAGCGGTGCCGATAGGATCTTGGATAAGACATGGCAGTGTGAACATCAAAATAGCTGGGATTTATGGATGTTCATCCCACTAAAAATTGTATTAATAGGTATTGATCTATACCCATATGTTTTTGAGAGGGATTTAACATGATTTAACCAACTTTATATATGATTCAATATGATAATATATGATATATGAGAGGGATTTTCCAAAACCATCCATGACATTTTCAGCCAGACCCCTTGCCCTTGCAGCCAGTGTTGCCTTCGAGGTCGATGTCTTTTGGCGGGATGCTGGTGGGTAACTTGATGAGTGGACCGCTGAGCAGCAGGCCTGGACAGCATTCACAGAATCTTTTTGCTTGGAGGCCCACATGTGGCCGAGCGGGATAAACATGATATAATTTTTATGTAAGATTGTGTAAGATTATGTTCTTGGACTTGAGTATATTGAGTTGTGTGAACTCAATCATTGGAATCATTGGAACAAGATGGCTCAATATGGCTGAGTTAGTGCCAACCTTAAATAGTAAGGACGCATTAAATGAATCTGTTTGCTTGAGTCCTACAGGTGGACAACAGCTTAGACTATTCTTGTGTATTTGAGTACATTGTTTTGAATGAAATCATGAAATCAATCAATCATTGGATCCTCACAACATTTTGTCTGAAGCTGAAGTCCCTGAGCAAATGTTTCAGGCATGGGCGCTGGTGGGTATGCATGGCTTCCACACTTTTGCTGAGCTTCTTTGGGCTGGTTTGTTCGTGCTTGGGCAAAATTCTGATGATGGGCGAACCAGTTGCAAGCTGCAGAGGACTTGACAAGTTGAGCAAACTGTTTCTGACACCGCATATTTTTTTGGACTTTTTTTGGTGTTAATATTATCCATAACCAGCTGCCGGTGGTTAAATGAATATGCCATCAATGGTGTGCATTGGGTGAACCTGGACTCTAAGGATAGTGAAGACCTTCCCTCAGCTCTTTGTGGTGCAGATGCTTGGCTGAGATGTCGGCAGGACAGTTTGAGAGGGATCAATGGGATATGGGTTTGCTGAGAAATGGATGGAGGGTTTGCGATCCAGCAAAAAGGCAATTTGAATGGGGAAATTTTGATAACCCATGATCATCCATTTTTTTGGAAAAGAATATTGGAAGATGTTGGGGCGACCAGATGGTGAGGTTGACATGCTGCCTGTGGATGCTTGAGCCATCTTGAGCCCCTTCAAGGAAGAATAGAGACGCAAGCACGGAACAAGAAACAGGACAGTTGCAACGTCGATGCAAAATCAGAAGCCTGCCTAGCTGATACCAGTCATCAAAATCAAATCTGAACACAGACCTCTACGAGATGCTCATGATGCTCGAAGCATGCACATCAGTAACATCAATATTTGAGAGTTCTTACAAAAGCCGTCATGAATACGTTTGACATCCGGCAGGAATCGTTTTATGCCGCTGATTCTGTTTTAAAGGTCTCTCCACCCTGACAGAAAAAGGACACAGCCAGACATTGGCAGTGTTCACTAGTTTTCGCGTTCATGGAGCAGAGTCTGGAAAGCCTCTCAGTGGGTGACCTGAAGAAACGTTTATTCTGGGTGGGTGCTTCCCTTCCCGATGGCCACATTGAGAAATCCGATTTGGTGGCGGCAGTCAGAAAGGCCGAAGCCGAGCAAGAAGAGAAGTTTGCCACGAAAGGTTTAGGAGCGACTGGAACGACTGGTGTGGGTGCCTCAGGTGAACAACAAGGTGTTCTAAGACCTGAACCTCGACCTTTGGATTTTGAGAGTGTAGCAGGAACAAGTGCAGAGGAGAAACAGATCATCGATTTGCATTTGTTGAGTGAGGCACAACTCCAAGAGAAGATCGAACAGAATGGCCATGATGTGCCTCCCAATTCCAGCAAACATTACTTGGTGGCCTTGTGTCGTAAGGCTCTGAAGGATCCCCGTGAGCCCAAACCCAAGAAAAAGGAGGAAAAGGCTGAACCTGAGAATGCCATTGCGGAATATCGTAGACCCACCATAGGTGATCGAGTACAAGTGCGAGACACCATGGTGATGAAAAGATATCTACCCGAGGCCATTGGAAAGGTCTTCAGGATCATCAAAGACGATGGAGGAGCTTTTCCATACAGACTCGCTGGGGTTGGAGAGCAACGGCACTGGTTTGGTGAAGATGATGTTTGCTGGCCAACCAAAGTTCAAACCAAAGTCTTCAATCGAGGTGGTAAAGCCAATCCGGATCAGCCAGCAAAAGTGATGATCAATCACAACCGCTACGGCTGTACACAAGGAGAGGTTCGAGATGTTTTGGGTGAGACAGCTGACAAGAAGAGTTGGGTTCTGCAGGGTGGTCGTCAGGTTCCCAAGTCACACGAGCACAGTGGCTGGTCAAGAATTCAGCCTGAGTCAGTTGAGCCACCTCCACCACCTCCAGGTGCTCCACCGGCTGCAGTGACTTTGAGCGAAGCAGAGATGTTTGCTCAGATGGAGGAGATGCAGGCGCAGTTGGATGCTGAGGCCATGGAACAAAGTGTCCAGTCCACGCCCTCTGTGCCCTCGGCACCAGTACCGGAGGCCAACGGGGACACCAACGGCTCCAGCACCAAGGGAGCGGCTCAAAGTTCCGGGCCTTCCGAGGTGACCATCACCAAGGCAGATGAGTCAACAACGTCTGCCACGCCAGTGGCGTCAACGGCCAAGGACGCCAAGGACTCGGCTGCGGCAGCGGCTGGACAAGAGGCGCGAAGGAAGCGCAAAGAGGCGGCGGAAGCCAAGGCGAAGGCAGCGGCCGCAGCAGAAGAGAGACGGAAGGCCAGGCGGAAAGCGGCGGCTCAGAAAGCTGCGACACCGGTGGAAAGCACAGCTGTGGATGACAGTGATGATGAGGTCGTGCCAGTTGGATCTATTAGCATTGACTGATCGACTTACTTGGCACCTTTGCTGTCAGCAGAAGCCAAATTTCATGGATACTCCTGGTGTGTCCACTCCTGCCCGGAGTAAAATTGATGGATTTCAGTGTCGCTGGCAGGAGTCTGTGGTGTCTTGTGCAAGACTAAGTCCAGTCAGCAGAATGCAGCCAGGATTCTTTGACACGTTCTTGTCAGATTTCACCATAAAGGCCTGGACTCATATGGTTTTTGAATGTTTTTAACATTTTCTTAGTGACAGGACAGGCTGCTTGCAGCTTCTTAAACATTGTTGAGAGATGAACCCTACGGGTAATTGATCTTTGAACTCTAAGAAATCAATCTGAATGGATTGCACCTGGAGGACTTCAGAGCCTCTCTCGGGGAGTTGATCCACATCACAATATGTGTTGCTTCACACTTTTTGTGAGTTCATCCTTATTGCTTAATCTCGGGAATTTCGTTTGTGTTTAGATGCTCATGTAACACTGATGAAGTACCGTTCGTCAGGGTATTCAATGCATTTTTTTATCATTTTTTGCGCGTTACACATATTATAGCAGGCAGACATGTTTGAAGTACCAACCTGTGATGTTTTTGTTGGTTTCAATAGCCGAATGGGAATCCAGGCTCTCCAAAATTCCAGCATATGTATTTAGTTTCTCATCATTTTCCTCTCACAAAGTGGCCGTAAATTGCAGGACGTTCTCCCCACTTTCTGGGCATAAACATGCTTGTCATTACATCATGTTACATCATGTTACATCATATCATACATCATATCATACATCATTATACATCCATGATGTAACATCATATTACAATATATTACATCTTCCGGATCTTCGGAATCTTCCCAATCTCCATAATCTCCCCTCATCCAGTGGGTCCGTTGTTGGCCCCATGGGAGACGACTCAGGATCTGCCTGGGCCTGGCCATCGGCGTGGGAGGCCCGGCCTCGGTGACCTTTCTGACGGAGGTGACGCCCACCAAGCAGCGGGGGGTCATCAGCAACAGCACGGGCTTCGCCTTCATGTGCCATGGCTGCCATGGTGTTGCGCAATGAGTTGGGCAGTTGGGCACCTATCTGATCTATAGATCTATTCTGTTTTATATGATTTTGCAATATGTTCCAATGATTGATATTGATAGATATTATATGATATTATATGATATTTTTGAGAAGGGAGGACCATAATCCATGAGCTGCGAATAATCCCTTCTCCCAATCACTAGACGCCCCACTCTCCTCCCCAAATACAGAAAACCAAGGGTAGTTTTTATTATTAGGGGGTATTTAGCATTAGAATGAGAAACTTCCTAATAATCAACCCAAAACCTTAATGTTGAAAAACAACAATTTTCCATGTCAAATCGATCAAGGCCCTTATTGAAATCTCTACCAAATATTGCCGAACATTGGCTTTCAAAGTTTTCCTCTAATAATCAGATCAAAACTTTGATTATACAAATAACATTTTTTCATGTCAACATCGATCAAATTCCTCATTTAAATCCATACAAAGTATTGCCAAAGATTGGCTTTCGAAGCTTTCCCCTAACAATCAAGTCAAAACCTTGATGAAGTCACCCAAAAAAGTAAAAAGTAATTTCAAAGGCGATCATATAAGATATTGCCACAACTAGGTTTTCGAAGCTTTCCACTAAAAACCAAATCAACACCCGAATGAACACAACTAGATTTTCCATTTCCAAATCCATCAAATTCCTTCTTAACATCTATATAGAATATTGCCAAGAATTGGAGTCAGGGACCCTAATGACTACCGCCCCCAACCAACTAGGTTCTTATTATTGAGGGGTGAAACCCTCAAATGGGACCTTGATTTTTAGTTTTTTTTTCTAAAGGGATCAATGAACATCAAGGTAACCAACCTGAAATTTGCCAGAAATGACAATCTGGAGCTGGAGTAGTTTTTGTTAATTGAGCGGTGTTTAGCAACAGGAAGAGGGGATTATTCATTAAACAGAGAAGATTGTGGGATTCGAACGGGATTTGGCCATCAATTGTGGGGGTTTGACCATCAGAAACATGGGGAAAGACTTGATATGATCACACTGTGCGGAATCTATTGGAATCTCCAAGCATGTTCCATGCTTTCAGTGTTACAGTTACAGGATCTTTTTCAGGAAACAACTTCAGTGTATTCCAATATGTTCTGGTTTGGTGTCTCTTACGCTGGTTTACGCTGAGGCTTGGTGAAGTCTGGACGGCTGCTGGACTGCTTCTCTTCATGCCGGACATGAAGGCAGGGCAAACGATGCATTGCGGGCGCCCAAAACTCGCAGGCCCAGTGATGCTTGATGGAAAAATATGTAACCATATCAATCTTTACAGTATCAGTTATTATGTGTTCATATGTTTTTTCCTCTAGCATTTTTCTGTGATCCTTTTCAGCTTTACCACACGTTTGTTGCTACGTTCTTCCTCATTGTCCGTGAATGTGCTGCATTTGGTCAGATGCTGTCAGGGACCTTGGAGATTGCTTTGCATTTGGGGCGTCTTGCCCGCACTGCTGGTCACTCCAATTGGTTGGGACCTCAACTGCTGCCTTTGTTGTGATGCTTATCCTCTGGCATTGTCTTACAGGAAACTGTTATGATTTTACCTCTGGAAATTGAAAACGTGCCCGATATCCACATTCTCGGTGCCATCTACCCACGGGAAATGCGGCCTGCGCCATCTACTATTGCACCGGTGTAGTTTGATGGTTTATGATGGTTTATGATGGTTTAGCGTTTTGAAAAATGCTGCTTTTCCATGGTTTTCCATCGTTCATTGTGTTAAAAACATTTAAAAACTCCGGTAGATTGGTAAATCCCCAGCGCTCCAAAAAAACCACTGGAGGTTTGCTCATCCACGAATCCCCAAGCTGGCTGCAGCTACGACAACGCCAACAAGAGCTACGGAGTGTGTTGGTCTGCTGGCAGGATGTTCTTTGCCACGGGATGCCGGTAAGTCGACGGAAGGACGTCTACAAATATACGTATAGTCAAGTAGTATCAAGATGTATCAAGCATACTGTAAAATAAACCTTCAGGCCTAATGACACAAGAAAGGGGGTGATTGTGCGGAGTTTCGAAGTGAATTATCTTGATATTATTTTTGCAAGGTGAGCCTTGTTGTGATTTGTTGAGCATTGCAGCATGATCATGGAACTTCAATTTGCAGAACAGGCTAGTTCAGCGTCTGAAAGGATGTCTCAAAATGCAGGCGGAATCTTGATCATTCAAAATCATTTTAAGCACACAGATGTTTTTTATTGTCCCTATTGTATCCTATTGTCCCTGTGTGATGGTCTGAGGTGAAGATCCAGTACCTTCACAGGAAGTCCGAGGTCAGTATTCTCGTAGCCCAGCTGAAGTCGGAAATGATCGGAACAGGAGCTGGCTACGAGCTGGCTACGACGGCTACGATCCACATGGCTCTTTTCTATCCTTTCCTCGTTGTGGTTGTTATGTGACAACCAGTTTAGAACTTTTCGATGAACTTTGTCACAACCCTCTATCTTTAAAAAGCAAGGAGATAGATGGAAATAGCGGCTATTCTAAGGTGTCAGCGAGTTGCAGTAAGTTGCAGTCTCCAACCTGACTGGGTTCTAATCAGTGACATGAAGCTCTGAAATGATCTGAACAACCCAAGCTCCGAGGTTCAGCCCTCATCCTTTTCCGCAATCTCATCCTGCGGTGCTTTCAAAAGCTTGATGCATTTTCAGCACTACAGGACCACAGCCTTTGGGATTTTTGGATGCCTGATATGCCACTGATATGCCTGATTTACGTACGACCTTGAACGTGTAGAGCTGACGAAGTAATATTGAACTTCAGAGCCAATTGTTTTGGATGGTTAGGCCGAGGCCAGACTTGACATCGCAGCTGTTCTGTTTGCGGGGTTTCACACCACCGATTTGAACGAACGCCTCGAACAGCTTCGCCATGTGGCAAATGCTGAAGACTTTGATATCATCAGCGATTGGCAAGTCTAGGCAGTTCGTACACGTAGAGCAGCTATAGAGTCTATGCCGATCAAGGACTGTCACCCTCTCCAGTTCTCTTGCCTTCATCACAAACTACCTCTTCTACGGCACGACTTTTGCAACTTGGCTGCGATCGCAGGATCAGCGTGCGGCAGGAAGAGTCATCACTGAAGCACTTCAGACCTTGTCATTACTTGCCTTCAAAAACAAGACTGCAACAGACTGCATCCTTTGGGTCTGAATTACTCTTCAGAACATGGCTTTTATATGGACGAAAAGTGACACTGAAGCGGAGTTGATGATGTGAATCTCCTGAGGCATTCACGCAGAAACTTGGCTGAGTGGAAGGCCTGCTGAGTAGGCTTCCAATTTTTTAGTGCCGACAAGTCTGAGATGATCACGTCAGATATATAATTCGAAATGAAATATGATGTGTTATCTTGTAAATAAGTATTGTTTGGACTTAGATTGGCTTTACGAATTATCATCACACTACCTTCCACATCCTTCCACCACAGTTTTTCTGGTGTGGTGACAGGAACCCTTTTTATCCACGAAGCAACAACGAAAGACTGGATTCTGAGAATGCTTGGCTGTCAGAATGCAAGAAAACACACCAACCATTTGTCTCAAAAGAATACTTGTAGCAGTGCATTGGTTTGGGCAAGAAATTGTCTTGATTCAACAACCCAAAATAGAATCTGGTAAAAACATGTAAAAACCATAGCGATAAATAAACTTCTCATTGAGTTCATCATTGACATGTCACCTGAAATGTCACTTGAGTTACACTTTGTCGATCCTAGGATATTTGCAGAGGTAGATGGCGATTGGACTTCACCAGCCATGGAAATGCTGATCATCGCCATGGCCGAGTTTGCTGGACTCATGTTAGCCTGGCTCCTTTTGTGAAGAGCTCAGATGATTTCTGCATCCGTCATGGATCATGGAAATATATATTTTTTGGAACCATGGGAACACATGGGGACATATCGGATGTGTTCCGATGTTATCCTGGAGGTTGCATCCTACCATGGGCTCGGCACTCAGAATTTCACTTCTTGTCCTGGCAGATCCTGGCAGTCAGTGAAGGACCTCCAAAGTCATTGATCTTGGCACCGATCTCAGTTGCCAATGCGATGGAGCGATGGAGTGAGGTCGGATTGGCATGTTGCGGCTCTTCAACTGCCTGAGTTTCCTCTTCAGCGCTGCCTTGGTTTCGGTGCTTCTGCGAAACTTTTTGGTGGCAGATCCTGCTGCTTATGGCCTCAAGGTGCAAGCGGAACCCCGCAGAACGAAGTGTAGTGTTTCCAAGTCGGGTTCCTGATGATCCAGGTTGTTCCACAACAGGAACACACGAGCTTATGATCAAGCGATGTTCCCTGAAGCTGGAACTGGTGAAGTAACACACATTTCTCCATGTTTCCATCCCTTCCTCAAGCCAGTCCCCAAAGACTCCAAACGAGGTGATCAGGGTCGGAATGATGTCATTTCACAAAAACATTGACTAAGATGGGACCTGGATGTCTAGCAATTAAGAGGAAAAGACTTGAAAGTCTAGGCGCTGAGCAAATGCTGCAACTGCAATTAATATGATTAAATTAATGTATATTAGTGTTGAAACGACCATCCCATCCATTCCCATGCAACCAGTCTTGCAGGCAGTGGTCAGTGGAATGTTCACCATTGTCTACCTCTACATTAGTGAAGCCTTGCCAGTGGCCTTGTTTGAACAGTGGGTTTTACTTCTGGGAGTTCTTTTTTCTATTTTTTTTCTAGAATTGGGACCATAGCAACGGGGGAAAAATGATTAGAAACTATGGGATTTTGGGGTATCCATCAATGTTCAACACCCACCCGACTGCCCCTGCCGATTGTGCTGGGCTGAGGTGGAGATTCGAGCAGTTGGTGTGGGCTTCTGCATGAGCGTGGGTCGTTGTGGTGCTGTGGCGGCTGCTTGGCGCTTGTGGATCTTGCGGGATGTGGTTGCCAGGGGTAAGTGTCGTTATGGGTGTTGTCACTTTTCACAATGGAATCCTTCTTCAGAAGCCAGTTTTTTTTTTCTGAGGAACTTGATATATTCCTCTCGGTTCCCAGTGCTGAGGCACCAGCGGTTTTCAGTATCGGTCAGCATGTCATGGGCAGCGCTTCTCCCTTCATCACAAGAAGCTTGGCATTGCCTTGAGATGTCCTATCACCTTGATCTGGGTACCGTTACATCGCAAAATGGCTCTGGCTCCAAAAATTCACCTTTTGAAGGTCTGCGGCATTTTTGATTATTTGACAAAAGCCAATATGGATTCTGGGCTTCCCTTTTTGGAGACAAGTTGCATTTCTGGCTTTTTCGAGCATTTTTGTTAAAGTCTTGTAACGATGTCCTCTATCGCTTGGATATTTGGATCATCCTTGATGTCTTTTTTGCTGCTGAAGATTGCTGCCTCGAGGTATGATGGTCTTGTCAGCACTAGGCAAGGCCGCCATGATGGTAGATGCACAGGTGAAGTTTGGGGTTCAAGATGGTTCAAGGGTTTAACCTTCGCTGAATTGCAGCCGAATCTTCCGAGTTTCAAGAGACTTGTTTGTTTTAAAGCGGCATTCCAAGCGCCCCCTTGATGCCTCGACAGGCTTTCTGGCAGCGAGTGGCTTGTTTTGCAGAGTATGGCAGTTTGACCTTTAAAAAAAAATATAAAAAATGATAAAAAATGTATCCTACCTTTTTGATCCTTTTTGTGCTCCGAGATTATCTCTCCCTTGAGAATACCTGTCGTGGCATGGCCGTGCAGAGGTCACTTGGTGGTTGAGACCCGAGACAAGCCGCTGGACACGCCCTGCTTGGAGATGTCCATTCGATCAGGACAGGGGACCCGCTGTGCCCCTGTGCGCGGCCCCTTGAATCGAATTGGTATCCAAAAATATGGTAGGTTTCTTAAGATGGGGATCCCCAAAACCAATCAACACCATAGGTTTCAATACTAAAATGATCTAAACCGATCTAATTTTGGATGATTTGGGGGTCCCCCAATTTTAGGAAACACTCATATGTATATACATAGCATACCCTCAATGAATTTGACAGTTGAAATGGTCACATGATGACAATGCATTGGAATTGGGGTAAGATGGGGTAAACCATTTTCAAACAAACCCAGATACTTAGCCACTCTATATATAGTATATACTTTGGAGAAAAAAGATGCAAGATCATGCTGATTTCTGATGGATGGTAGCATTGAAATATCAAATAACTTGTCAGTGTCAGCACAAGAGAACTTCTTAGGGCAGACGATTGGGCCATAGAAATACAGGTTGCCACACTCCTGGATGCGGCAACTGCGCAGGCAGAGCCCTTTCAGTTGATGCTTGAAGCCCCCAACAAAGACTTGTGAGAGGCTTCCTAATCTTTCAGAGGTGGGTTTGTTGAGGGAGGATTTACAGGAAACCCATGGAAACCAAGAAATTCATATGTTTCGCCCAAACTCGGGTGATCAAAGCAATGAAAGTGTGGTTTCCTGTAGGTTTCTCCTTAGCCCTAGATCAACTCAGTGATAATCTGCGATCAATCTGTTTTCAAGTCTTTAAATTGTCCATGTCGCCGTTGAGTTTTCATCTCCGGCACTTGCACGCCCCTCCAGAGAAGATGCCAAGATGCCTTCTCAGTGACAGTGCCCGCTGATGACAAAGTTGTGCTTGCCGTGGCCGCAGGTGTGCAACTTGGCTCCACCTTGTGCACTGCTGTCATTGAAGATTCTGTTTCAAGAGAACAGGTGCAATCAGTTGAACATGATTTGATTTCCTAATTTGCTTAGTCAATTTCGATCTGCCAAGGAGTACGGACAGTTTGCGCCCAAGGGAGATCGCAGGTCGTTTCTGCAGCGTCATGGTCAAGCATTCCAAGGTCCTCCAGTGGCCCGTGTGGCCACCAAAGTCTTGGGGGAAATGAAGGCAGCTTCCGTCGTTTGAGGTCAAAACCATGGTGTTTGCACTGGAAGACAATGGAATGACAGTGAGTTAAATGAACAGTTAGTATGGAACATCATGAACTATATTGAACTTGCAGAGAAACCACCGGGATATCTCATGTGTTAGCTGCACTTGCTTTTGGGCCTCATGGAGGTCCCATCGGCCTGTGTCCCCACAGATGATGCGGCAGCGGACTGTGCAGAGGCACGTCAAGGCATGGCAAATCTGTGGCAAGAGCTTGGAGGATCAATCTTCAGCTACGGCCATATGGCATATATGCAAACACATGTGATGCCATGGGCCAAACAGGTCGTTTTTGGTTGCATCTTGGCATATCCTGGTGTTGAGCATCACATGCCATAGGCCATAGGCCATGCTATCTATGCCATCACGTCGTAGACATTTGGTAGTGGCTCAGGCTCCGGACAGATTTACCGTAGTTTGTTATCGTTGTCAGCGCCACAAAAGTCTGTTTGGACAAAGACCAAAATGGGACAGGATCACTCCATTCACATTGAGCGATGCTCTAGGGACTTCCAAAGAGAATTTCATCCGCTGATGTTGAAGAAGAATACGGCAGTGAGAGCTGTTTGGAACCGACCCAATTCGCAGACAAAGATGGATGTGTTGGAGTTGAACCGAGAGATCCATGATTTGATCAATGGGTGTTGGTGGAGGTCTGGGGAGAACTATGTGGAGTTTGAGTACTTGTTCGATGCGGTCATTGACGACGTCGAGGATAAGATCTACCAAATGGAAGAGGCAGTTGATGCCATGCGGGAGCGTGAGCGTGCGCAGGCACTCCAAGCGCCCCAAAGATCCAGCGGACATGGCGGTGGAGGATCTGGTTATCAAAACCATCAAAGCTATCATCAGCATCAGCACCTACATTATCACGAGGCTCCCTTCCCTGACCGACACCGAGCTCCTCCAGCCCATTCAACTCGTGATCCATTTGTTGGCACTCGCATGGCTGGTGGGAAACTTCACGACATCTACGAAGGACCTCGTGGAGGCCACTACTACATCAACAGCTTAGGTGACAAGAGGTACATCTGAGATGATAAACATTTTCTAGCGGCATTTTAAAAGGCTGTGATGTACAGTAGCAAAGGCATTTGTGCTGAGCGGCTGCAGGAGGTACTTGACCAAGTAAGTCAGTTTGCTTGCTTCTGGCATTTTTTCAGCATCAGCCGCTCTTCCGGGAACAATGACTCATGCGTTGGCCGGCGAAAGACAGAGAATTGGCATTTCCGGACACTTACAGGTCTCAAAGTCATGTGGCTTGGTTTGCCTTGTGGACTGACGAGGTTGACAGCAAGCATATAAAGAACCACATGTATTCTATTTCCATCTATTTCCAGGATCTCAAGCCGCTCTCATCCCGCCAGGTGTCTGAAGCGCGGCAGCGATCACCAGAGCCACCAGATGTGGAGCGCTGGTGGGAGGATCCTGTCTTAGCAAGGATCCCAAGGAGTCGAGGCTGTGCTGGCAAGTACCCCTGGTAATGTTTGCTCAAGTGAATCGGTGAACATGCAAAAACATAAAAGTTCGAAGTGGGAATTTCATCTACATCATGGTGACCATGGTGGCAATTTTTCAGTTTCCATGCTGCTCTGATCAGCTGTAGATCTGCCTGAAAAAACCCTGTCTTGTAAGTAAAAACCCTGTCTTTGTAAGTAGATCTTTCTGCTTTGCAAGAAGGCAGACTGCAGGCAGTGTCAAACAATTTTTCCGTGTCAAGCTGCCTGTAGCATACTTTTCAGCAGCTGGGTCAAAACTGAAAAGACGATTCCATGATTTGATGGTGAAATCCGTGTTGAAACCATCCATTTGGAAGGCTGTGAGTTGACGAATGGTTCCGAGTTTTGCTCCATACCCAAATTCCGATTGCAGAAGACAAGAGAACTAGGCGGTGATAAGCAGCGCAGCCGACTGTACATCTTTTCTATTCTTTTCTCTTGGGAGGCATAGGACCTACGTAGTGACTTTGGTAGGCTCATGCTACATGTAACGCACAACAGGTAAAAATGACAGGCGGCAAAATCAAGCTTGAGGCATGCAACGCACGTCTTGCAACCCAGTTTTGATCACTTGAGCAGTGAAAGGAACAATGTAGCCGAAACTCAACTGACTGATCTTCAATCTCCGAGCACCGGGATATCACCTGGGTTAGCTGCACTTGCTTTTGGGCCTCATGGAGGTGCCATCGGCCTGTGTCCCCACAGATGATGCGGCAGCGGACTGGGCAGAGGCACGTCAAGGCATGGCGCATCTGTGGCAGGATCAATCTTCAGCTACGGCCACATGGCATATATGCAAACACATGAGATGCCATGGGCCAAACAGGTCTTTTTGGTTGCATCTTGGCACATACTGGTGCGGATCAAACACACAAAGTATATATATAGAATTTAGGCCCAAGAGAGCAGCACTCCGGCTCTCACCCACTGTCAGCTTTTTAGGGTGGCCATGTTGTCGCCTGGGCCTGTTCTGCTTGGGCGTGTCAGATGTGCAATGGATGGACCAGCAAAAGGTGCGGCAGGCGATGTGGACGTGCCTGGATCACCTGGATCATCAGAACTTGATGCACGAATCCAGCGAAGCTGGGATCAGAGGCAAACCTTGTATATTCAGAGTCAGAGATGGACTCGTCGCACATTTCTTTGTTTGGCCGTGATGGTCGCCGCCTGCCTGTCTGGTGCACTTGCATATGTTTTTTATCATTCCTCTTCTTTTCAGTCTCAGCTGGATCCAGATGATGCAAGCTCGTCCATTTATCTTGTTTGCTTTCTTATTGCAAGCAATGCGCTAGCTGGGGGATCAGCTGTCTTGCTGTGGCTCATTGCCCCAACACAACACCTGCTTCTGGCAGCACGCTTTCTGATGCTCAACTGGTTTGGAGGATTATCCTCTTTGTTTCTAATAGAGTTAAGGCTGCCCGTCCTGTTTTTGGAACTTATGGGCTTGCAATATCTCGCCCAGGATCGTTTGAAGAGTATTTGGCCGGCTTTGAACTCCCCACAATGGGGAGCATGCCTTGGGCAAGCCTTTTGGCTTGAATTTGGGCTCCTGTCGTTTTCGTATTTGATGACACTTGTCGCGATTGTGTGGTTTCATTCGAGCACTTCGATGGATTTAATCGATGTGATCCTAGGGGTACTGGCTTTGTCGCATCTCCTTTCAACACTTCTGTTCCTCATGTGGGTCCTTGGTGTTGCCACCACATTGTGCCGCGTGGTTTTGATGCTTCGTCGAACCCTGCAGATGGCTCGAAAAGAAGAGAATTCAACGGCTGTGCAAAGTCTTCTTGCTTGTAGGAGACGGAGCTTTTGGCAAGCAATTGGTTTTCTTGCCAGTTTGGCAACAACCTTTGTTCTCTTCAAGGTTGCTTGGAGTGAGAGTCTCCAGTCTTGGGATCATGCGTATCTTGAGGGTTTGAAGCACCTGCACATCCCCACTTTCTCTTTTGCTGTCGCTCAGAGTATCAACAGCGTGCTGAACGTGGCGGGGGTGATCCTTTTATCAAAAGCATATAACATTTTCAAATTGCCTGGATCTGTGAGGCCCCCTCCTCTCTCATGGACTCCGTCCAGATTTGGCTGCCAAGTATGTCCCCGCTCTCGCATGCGTCATGACAGTGATGCTGACACTGGCACTGTAAAAGGGTCAGATTGGGAAGCAAAGACTGAAGAGCTGGCCAGCCGTGGAATCTCCTTGTCAGATCTATTGTAATTTTACAGCACCCTGGGCGTTTGCATCATGACGTCCTTCCAGCCGGATGTTCACACCACCAATGATGTGGTTCGACTTGGAATCATTCCACGAACTGCGTCTGCTCGTAGCTCTTATGCTGAGCTCGTGAACAATGGCAAAAAGGTGATCCCCAAGAAAATGGTCACCCACAACTGGCAAAACCTTTTCCGTGACCTGCTAGCTACTGTCATTGCTGATGCACTGGGAGAGCACAACTTCGAGCTGATTGCGGAATTGCTGTCCGACAAGGACGGGGTTGAGGTCTTGGAAGAAACTCTCCGGGTTCAAGGACGTCTTCAGGAAACCTACTGGATTTGTGCTTTTTCAGTCAATCAGCACGCTTCAATTTGTGGAGGAAACCCTAACGGAGACATCGATCCAGTCACCAAAATCCCACATCCAATATGCAGTTGCAATGCTCCCAAGTTCTTCAACAAGGACCCGCCATTGAATGCACATGGTGAGAGCATCAATTGCGAGATGAACAAATTTGATGACATGATGGCATTTCTGGCACGAAAAGATCCACACTTTGCAGAGGTCATTGCTGTGGATGCCAATCTGAATTTATTCTCACGCGCCTGGTGTATGGCCGAGCTGGCTGAAGCCCATCGAATGGGCATGGTGCAGAACGTGATGCCCAGGAACAATGCGACTCTGTTGAGGAGGCAGGGCACCTTGCAGCGCCTTAGGGTGGAAGATATGAAAGCCAGTCGTCCTGAAGATGTGCAAGAAATTCTTTCAAAGATCCCAGATAAGAAAGCATTCAATCAGAAGCTGCAAGACTTGATCTTCGATGGGCAAGTAGGGCTATTGGCTGCTCGCAAGAAGGCAGATGTGCTGGAACAAATGGAAGACCTCTCTTATGTGTTGAAGTGGGCTAGGCTTTCAGAGAGCGCGCACGACGGAGCCCTCATTTGGCGCAGATGGATCAGCTCAGGCAGACCGATACAGTGATACAGGGACAACCTCAAAAGTAGGTTGCCCTCTGCCCCGAAGCGGGCGAATGAAAACACAGTGTGGCTGCCTTCGATGATTATGTAATGATTATCATGATTTCAAGGTATTTCAAGTCATTGTCAATGTGTCCATTTTTGTGTGCGAAATGGTACGCGTCTTGCGAATTGGTCTTGTGAGCTCTGGCAGCGCGATCCTCTTGCTTGAGGCAAATGTTCATGCCAGGACCTTGCCCGATCAAGCAATGCATTTGTGGAAGCTTTTGCTCCGGCAATTCTTTGGTAGAGGTTTCTTCAAACGAGGTCAACTTGTCATTACTTTGATTTTGGGCATGTCAATGCATGTCATTTCAATGTTGCGGTCCAGCATGGTCCAGCATGCCACTTCTAAACTCTAATCGAGGGGAGCAATCAGGAGAACGATCCATCAGTACCAAGTAGTACTTTTCTGCCAAGGCTCGAGATGCCAAATTATGCGAGAAGCCAAGTGATGTGACTAGTGTGATGTGTTGAAGCAAAAGCAGCTGGATACAACTGGAAGTTCCGGATTCATGGGATAGTTGTGAAATGTTGTGAATGTTGTGCGTTGCTTGGACTGTCGATGCGATGTTGACACATGTACAGAGCCCAGGTACAGCTTTGCATTATTCCGCACATGATGGCAACGCTGAGGTATCTCGTGCGTATCGGGAGGGGTGAATCCTGCATACAATTTTCTTTAAGTTTTTTGTGGACCACGATGGATGGAAAAAATTACAACTGAGTTAGTTTTTGATGTTTTTTGTCATTTCAGAGTATTGAGTTTGAGAACCAGGTCCAGATCTTTTGAATTCAGCTGCTGACTGAAACTGGTCCATTGTTGCTTTGGGTGCCGCTCAAAACTCTTGGCGCTCAAACACACGGATGGCATGACATTTGAGGTCCTAAGATGACCGGGCATATGTGGTGTCCACTGGACCCCCCAGGATTTGATCTTTGTTCCTGTTGTTCCTGTTGGATGATGTTGTATGCCTTATTAAGATAGTAAACATTTAAAACTATTCAACAGGTACCAACATGTCTAAATTTGCATAGATTTGCCAGTGTCTTGGTGGTTTTTGGTACCCCAGTTCTGCCTGATATATCCTGATATCCGGTTCTGCTGACAGTTCGATTTTTCAGGCAGCCAAAGTCCTGCTGCAAGCCGGTTCCAGTGCCTTTGCGCGCAACTGCAGCCAGCTGCTGAGCCATGTGGTGTCGTCTTGTCAAGCCGGATGGTTGAAGATGAACAGGAAAAAACACCTGGCCAGTCTAATGAAATGAAATCTAATGAATCTCTTAGGATGATTAAACTTTGCAGCCTTAGCTATATTCGGCCTATATTCTGATTATTCTGTACAGGTTTCTGGATAGAAACCAACCACCCCCGATAGTTTTTGCAATGAAACTTGAAATCTGTTGCTTTGGCCGGCCATGAGTGATTTCCAAGGTGCCACTCCTCGAGATGTGGCTCTTTTGAGCTTCTGGTTGGCATGGAATCAGACACGGCACAAGGCAAATTCTACGTAGACAGAGTGAGATATGTAAAGCATTGTAAAGGAGGCTCTTGAGTTTTGGTTGGAGACTATTTTGTACCATTTTGTATCATTTTGTACCTGTAAGAAAACTGCCTCGGACAAATGACACCTGCCTCAACTTCATTTCGAGGTGGACTCCCAGAGTGCAAAGTGGCTTTGAATCTTAAGATCGCGACATCCTCAGATATCCTGTTGGAAAGTCCTGAAAGGCTTGAAAAGTCCAGGTTGATTCTGGATATTTCTGGATATTTCTGGATATTTCTGGATATTTCTGGATATTTCTGGATGTAGTCGCAGCTTCCAAATATGACTCAATGATTCACAGCTGGGGACTGGGGATGAGTACCAATGATGACATCTTAGGATTGAGTTTTCCCGGGTCTGCTACAGACTGTGAACCCTGTAATCATTAAAAATACAACAATGATGAGGAAAAATCATCAACAATATAGAAATACAACATACATTGATGGATTCGCGGTTTTGTTCTTTGACGGCATGTCTAAAGAACGAAAAAAATACAAAAGGACAAAGTGCAATCTGTGAAGGACTGGAAAACTACAAAAAAAATACAAAAATACAAATTGCATTTTTGGACGTAATGGAAAAATACCAAAAAAACAAAAATACAAAGTGTATTTTTTTTGTATCTCATTTGTATTTTTTCGTATTTTTTTTGTATTTTTACAAAAAATAATGCGAAAAAATACAAAAAAATACGAATGCAATTGCTCAAAAATACAAAATACAAAAAAAATACGAATCAACAATTTCAAAAATACAAAATACAAAAAAAATACGAACCCAAAATTTCAAAAATACAAAATACAAAGAAAAGACAAATTCAAAAATAAGCCAGAGAGCCAACCCCGTGTTCACTCTTGGAAATCAGGAACCAAAATACAAAAAAAATACAAAACCAACCAGTTGTATTTTCCAAACCCTGCAGTTCTGATTTTGTATTTTTGGGTTGTATTTTTTTGTATTTTTTTTGGTATTTTTAAATGTTGGCAGAAGACCCTTCTGTAGCCACCGCGGACAACTCAATCTTTCTTGGGGGGATGAACAACAACCGAGGAATCACCGCCGGTCATGCAATCCTGGACGTTTTCAAGACGCTTGGCCGAGAAAAAGCTCGTGACGGTTCTTGTGTTCGGTAGCGAAGATCCTGCGCGTTGATGGTGTAGAGAGGACTGATCGACATGGAGTTGGTACCGCTTTATAGCCGGTGTCAACATATCCTGCGTAAGGGACTTTATAGCCTATTTATAGCCTTTGTAACCCCAAGTCGGAGATGATGTCGATCGTGAAAACATTGGCACTGCCGGCCAAGACACAGCTTGGACGCTTGAGTTTCAATAGAGTTTGATCCACCTTGGCATTTCGGGTCTGGACTTTTTTTTTCCGATGAGGGTTCGATGCGACTTTCAGTTTTTGGATTTGATATTGCGGGTTTGTTATGTATCCTGGTGACAACGTGGGATAAGCTTGGGACTGCCTTGCAGATCGCTTGGTCCTAGTGTGGGCTATGTGAAGTCTCGCAGCTTTTCTGAGTGCCAACGTGACGTCAAGTGCCAAATCCCTCGCGTGTGCGCTGTGGTCATGGGGGCTTGTTGCCAGCATGAGAAGGAGCGCCGGCATCGGGTTTTCTGAGGCCTTTTGGGTTTAGATGTCAGCCATTTAGCATGTTGACATTCAACCTCTGGCACATTGTGACATGACATTTGGTTGAATCGGACCCACTCAACTTCCTCTCTTAGCGTTGTGATGCACTCCAATCCCGGTTTGAATCTGCAGCATGCTTGTCGTGTTCTCATCCTTCACACCAGGCGGAGGAGGAGATCAATATGGAGGCCGGCACGGTGGGTATCCAACTGTTGCGGGATGCAGCATCTGAATGTGGCTTCACCACGAAAAGCCAACAAATTGAGGATGAGCTTCCCTTCACGCCTTTGGCACATCAGGTGGGAGTTGGGATTGATGAGGGCGTATGTGGGCCAAGTTGCACATTCTAATCTTGAGCGTCATTTGTCTTTTTGGTTAGTGATTTGTTTGTTTCCAAGATTTGTATGTTAGACAGGTCTGTCACAGTGGCTTGAAACTAGACAAACGAGATAGAACGAATTCGAATGAGGCTGGTTCAACCCCTTGACACGAATGGTCCCAGGCCTTTCCACTGCCAAGAGCTGGTTGGAACGGCCCGGCGAAGATCGCTGGACATCCGTGCCTGGTTTGCACATGTTTGATGTATGGGTTAAGATAATCTTAGAATCTGTTGCTTCATAGATCAAACAAACCTGTACGGTAGAGTCCTAGGTATTACTTTTTTTAACCGGACCATACCTAACGAAGGCCATAGGTTCAGAGACGTTCAAGAGCCCATGGGTGTGCTCAGGCCAGTGCTTGGACATTTTCCTCAAGGAGAGGCTGCTGAACAGTTCCCAGAGCTGTGATGCCAAACAAGTCCAATGGAAGACTGGGAAGGCAGAAATATAGCTCGGTGACGAGGGCCCCCTGTCAAAGCTTGATGAACCTCAAAGGGAAGGAAGCGTGTTGCGCTTTCTGTGGAGATGTGTGGAGTTGTGGCCGGATTGTTTGTCATTTCCTTCCCTCAGTAGATCAAACTGTCTTGGAATGTTGCCTTCCAGCATATCCATGTTCTCAATGCGGCCTTTTCACCATCTTGGAACAACAGGAAAAGCCATTTGGTGCACCAACATCTTGGAACAACTTGCAGATTGCAGTGATGCAGATATCACAAAATTCTCACACATACGGTCACATACCAGCCACTGCATGGTTTCCTGAAACAACCCCATATAGCAAGACATGAATCAAATCAGTTTTGAAACGATGCCAAGCAGTTTGTGTACTCTGTCCACATGTCCAATCACGTGTCATCCTGACTGTTCTGGAGGACACCAAGTGCAGATCCTTGCGCATCATGCAAAGCAAGGTGCGCTCAACGTGGCCGTCCGAGAGGGATCCCAGTGATTCCTGTTGAAATTTATTGAATCTGAGTGATTCTTGGATTCTTGGATGCTTGGCTCACGGTGGGAATGCTTTGCCAGCATGTTTGATGATTTTTGGTCATCTTGAGTCGTAGGCTCAACATCCAGGTAGGGTTGGTCCAGCGACAGATTTGTTTCATGATATTTTTGAATTGTTTCTTCCATCCCTGATTGCTGTTCCGCATGAAGTTGCTGTAGCGAACACTTGCAATACAATTCTAACGCTTGGTGCCGTCATGCAGGGATTTGGGGTCTCCAAGCAGGACTCAAAACGCATGTGTTTCATTCTCACCATCTCTCCCTTTCTGCCTCTTGTAGGTGCGCCAGATCCGCAGATGAACCCAGGCGTGCTGCCAGACAACATCAAGGGAAGTTGAAACCTAGACACGTCATGACACATCATGACGAATGGGCAAATGGGATCCAGCCAGGGACTGGATCTGAGTATCGGAATGCTCCATTTGCCAGAATTTGGAAAAGTGTTTGAAAAGCCCATCAAATGATATCAACCTGAGCTCTCCAAGTTAATCTTCAACTTTCATCATGAAGGAAAGCGTTTTTGTTGCATCAACGGAACTTGAGCCAGACAGCGAGTCTGTTCAAAAAATCACATTGAGACACATGTATTGGATAATTTTATATACATATATATATATACAATCACATTATACATCCATTCTAAAAATGGCAAAAACATGTTGACCAGGTCGGAGCTGCGCCGTCCGTGGAGATATTGGGCCTGGTGGTGCAGCGCCTTATGGCAGGGCCCTCAGAACAGGACGCTGTTCCAGTGGGTCCCGGTGGGTCAAAAGGCGGGGTACCATGTGGAGGTTTCATGAGGTTTCCTCAAGGTTATTTTAGTATTGAAACCTATGGTTTTTTGGATGGTTTTAAGATGTTTTAGGATGTTTTGGAGATCCCCCTTTTTTGAAGAAACCACCATGTTTCAATTGTTCTGGATAGATTTTGAAATCGTCACCACCGTGAGTCAGGGTAACTGTCCCATGGCCTTGTTTCTTTTTATTTCAGGTCGAAGATCTATTGACAAGTACCCGGATAATAGGGCAACATGGGCTAAGAGCCCATTATCGTATATGATTGAGTAACATCGTCACGCATTGCCCCTTTCCAGTCCCAGCTTTTTCGTCTGAAATCAAAATCATTCAAAATCAAAAGCTTCTGGGGCACAGTGCAGATGGTATAGGAAAATGGTTAGTTCCAAGTCCCTGGACAGAAATGCATCAGAGTCAAAAGTTGAAACAAACAATGACAAAGAAAAGAAAGTACTGTATAGTTGTACAGTTTAAGTATGTTAAAAATGTACAAAGTAATGTGAGCAGGTAGTTAAAACGTATTGAAATGTATTTATGTGCGTAAAGATGTGCTGTTGCATGCTATTGCATACTGATATGCGCTCGGACATTCAGCGCATACCGGTAGGGCCTGTAGGGATCTTTGTTTATCTTTCCTCCCTGGTTTTATTCAAGTGGTCAGGGAAAAGACGAGACTTTCTTAGTTTTGAGTGTCAGCGAACCCATATGTGATTGTTCGAGGCAATTTCCTCGATGTCGAGAAGGCAATACTAGAGGCTGGAACAGATTCACTGTAAGGGCATGGCAGAATGATTGAACTTTGTGATCTGTATGGTTTGAAAACACTGGCCGCATACAATTCATCATGCCAACAGTTCAGCTTGTTGTTGGAATATTGTCGGAGTACTCGTCGGAGTACTTGGTGAAATTAAACACCCTTTCAGGCAAACCATGTTGCATTTTAATAAAAGCAGATCTTGGGCAATCACTTCACTTCCGCCTCAGGGAATCATTGAGCGGGTGAATCTCTTGGCGGATGTGATTTGCATAACGCAGGCGGAACCGCTTGCGAAAGACGACAACAAAACGAGTGTGAGCAGACAAACATATGTTTGGGAAGAAAAGCGATCAACTTGGACGGCATGTCGAAAACCAGATGATTGATGTAACGCGATGCAGGAGTGGTTCAAGTCACCGACAGAAGGCTGGCATTGACTTGATTCATTGTTTCGATAGCCCCCTGCACCCACAGCTGAGCAGAGTTCGTCAAGACATGTCAAGACATTTTTCCGCATAGAGCGAGATTGATGTATGGTGCCCAGATTCGCGTGGAAGTTTTGGACGTTTTGGACAGCATGTTTTCAAATCAACGATATCAACGTTGGCTTCTTGGCAGCTCCTGACCAAACGCGGCCCATCTCCAGGGATTATCCGCGTCCCATCAGGCAGTTCCCAGTCATGGAGGTAGCTCCAATCTCTCCTGTCGGCCATGGCGGCCATGGTTTACTGTGACGGACTCACCAAAGTCTCTGTCCATGGTACAATGATTCGTCGCATGTGCACAAGATTGCACAAGTGTGTTGCAGAAAGAGGTGGTATGAGTAGGAACATGTTAGCAACATATCCTTTGCATTCCTTTGCCATCACTGAGCTGATTCGTTGCAGTAACTGGGACCGGGAGAGGGCTAGGTGGGTGGACCACAAGTACATCGAATTCGAAGCGGCCAAAGCGCAGGTGATCGGGTGATTTGGAAGAAGCTAAAGAACTCTCAGTAATTTTCAAGCATTTACAATCATTTTAGCATATTTTAACTTATGCCACTCATGCCCTTCAAGTTGGGGACAATGTAATTGATATGGAGGAGATGGTCGCCTCAGGCTGCGTGGTCCAGCAGGTTTTGAGTGGGTACTTGTTTGATGCTGTTGAGGACTTTTGTTGGACGGTTTTGCAGTTGTGAAACTATGTCAAACTCATAATATGAGTACAGTACATGTACAGTACTCAGTACAAGTACATGTACATGTACAGTGTACAATGCATGAGGCGCTCTTGTATCGTGACTTGGGAAGTTCAGATGTGCCCAGTGGGATCGTTGGACAACACACTGGCAGAATTCCTGGCGAATCCCAAAATTTTGAAGACGACTGGTGAATTTCTCATTGTGCTTGCCAGGTCGCCAGGGAGGAAAGCAGCGAAGCTTCGATCCATCAGATAGTTGCAGCATTCAATGTCACAATGTGCAACCGTTGGACTGGCGCAAAACCGGGCCGTGAACATGACGCCCTGAAGCAGTGGCAGGTTGACCTGGCTTTTCTTTGAACAACTAGGGGTTTGAACCCCACGGTAAGGATGACACAAAGGCGGTTTACCATTGATCAGCTGGGAAATATTCATGAAAAAAATTGGGTCTGGTCTTCCTGTTGTTTGATTGCAAGATCCGGTATCAGCCACATTCAACCTCCACCTTGTGGGGCACGGGCGGAGGTGTGTCTTCCTGTGCAGTTTGGCCCAAGTTAACTCCCTGATGACTTGATGGACAGGTGTCAAACCTGGAATGGTTGTTGACGTTGACAATGTATTCAAATGAGATCTCAGTTGAACAGGGCTCAAAACCCCTTTCTGGCTGATGCGCCCATAGTATATATATATATGTATAATTGATATGATCATAATCCCTGAAATGAGAACCAGAGAGTCCCTGTCATCATTTGAGTTCTCACCCTGAATATTTAGGTGTCAGCGTTCATTGCACACCATTTGAGTATCCAACCGTCTCCTTGCGTGCTCATTGGGCAGCATGGCGCACCTCGGACCGCAGAGCAGCAACGGAAATCATTTAATTAGTAGTGGTACTAGTGGGTGATATGTCATGTAATGTCATGTAAAAGCTGGATAGTTTGTAAATCTGTTACCGCACAAAGAATAGCACCAAGAAGTTGTTTATCGATTCATTAGACTTTGGCAGCCTATTGGGTCAATTTGTCAAGATGGAAGCAGAATGCCCAAGACAACTCCAGGGCCAGCACTTTGGGACTCCATCCTTCACTCTGGTGGTTGAAATTTGGAAGTGAAATAGAAAAACATGATAAAACATAAAACAGTTTCCCGATATTATTGATCTCCAGGGTGGTAGCCCCGTCGCCGTCGACTCCAGACTCTAGGCATGTCCAGTGAGAATTCTCAGTTCCTTTTATTGGGTTGTGGGCCGACCCAAGAATCCAAGAGGCTGGCAATCGCCCCAACAAAAATACACGAAAAATATCAAATAGTATAATTCTGTTCTTTTGGGTGTTCACCGGAAAGTGCTGCCACACTCTGTGTGTGTCAATGCTACTGAGGCTTTGAAATGACTTCCTGATGCCACATCCTCAGATTATCCAACGCGGTTGACACCGGACAACGGCGCGTTCGTAATTTTGAACTATTCGTGACAACTGATGAATACGCAAGGCAAATGGGTTTGAAGTCAGGTTCCAGGTTCACAGACTGATTGCAGCTTGGCAGTTCAAAACTCCAAGACAAACAGTCTTCAGACTTAATACTTTCAGACTGTTGGTTTGTGTGGTTTTGCGCATCCTCAAATCACCTTTGAGCTGTAAGAGATTGACTGGATGATGACGCACGGTGACTAGTTCAATGGTCGTAATCCTTGAACAAAGTTGACATCTTCAAATCAGACATCAGCGGATTGATAAGACCAGACACATTCCGTGCAGAGGTCAGGCATTTTGGACTGGCAGCTTTGAGTATGTACCCAGCTGGCAGATTTGAATTGTGGATTCTCTGGATTTTGACAAGCTGTTTGACAGTTCAGGGACTGTCTTGGTGTCAACCCTTTGGTGGCAGCTGCATTGGGCGCCAACATCGCTTTGAGAAGAAGCCTAAAGGAGATGAGTATCTCGATGGGACGACGCCTTGGATTGATGTCACTTTAAACACAGAAGTCCATAGCGTGGCGTTTGCAGACTGGGACTCTGATGGCGACTTGGATTTTTTGTTGTTGACTCAATCAGAGATCATATTCTACGAAAGACTCACTGAGGAGAGCTTCGTTCCACATGACTTGATGATGGTGGAAAATCAGAACCTCAAGGGTCTTGCAGTGCTGGACTGGAATGGAGATGGGAAATTGGATTTGTTGTTTTGCTCTTGGGAGAATGAGTCCGCAATTGTCAGCTGGCTCCCAGGTCCAGCCTTGGAAGGCACCAAGACCAGGATTTTGACTGCGAATGCGTCGGAGGCATTTTGTGTCGTACAGCCAGTGGACTCTGATGAGGATGGTGATATAGATCTGATTCTTGGTCAAAGGTTCTTCGATCGTATCTCTGAAGATAAATTCATAGAGAGACTTGGGAATCCAAATCCACTTGAGGTCTTCAAGGGCAAAGTTCACAGGGTGGCAGACATAGATTCTGATGGGCATTTGGACGTGCTGGTTGAGGATTGGGAAAGCTGGCACTATGATTGTGATGAAAACTGTCACTATGATTGTGATGTGGACCTGCATTTCTGTAGCCGTGCAGCCGATGGCAGTTTTGTTGAGCAAAAAGAAAATCCGGTTGATGAGATCAAAGTCAGACACTGGCAAGCTCTAACCGGTAATGAGTATCTTAATGCCCATGTTGCCGACTGGAATTCAGACGGTTTGCCCGATGTTGTGCTTATGTTCAGATTTTCGCCTTACGAGGATTTTCTGCCAGGTATGGCATACCGTGTGTACTGCCACACATACTACCAACATATTCTGCCGAAGGACTTGAAGCGCAACTCTCACATGGATACCTTTGGCGACATAGACATACAACAGTTGCAGCCTTTCTTGTTAGATTGGAATGGGGACGGAAACTTAGATATGGCCGTGAAGCAACCAGTCTTCAATTGGGGCGACAAATATGTGCGTCTTTTTGAGTCCGATGCTCATGGCAGAAGTGTGACGGAAGTGGTCTCAGCATTTGAGAATGTCACTTGCAACAGCAGCTGGCAAGAATGTCGCCTCCTCCATCGTGGTTCTTGCGGGGAGCATCGTGTTTGCTAGCACAAATGGCGACATCACATTTGCGACATCTTTGCAGGCCTCTCCCTGGCGCTTTGGCTATGGAAAGGCACGAATATCTATACGTACTGCTGGCTGGATCTTGGCTTTGTTGTGCACCTTGCCTACAGCTTCAGCACAGCCAGTTCGACATGTTTTGCACTCCAGTTGCACTAGCAACACTGTTTGCGATGTGTTGCAGATGCACTTGAATTCAATTGAATTTACTGTCACTGACCTTTTTGCATGTTCAGCGACTCTAAACTGCGTGGGTACTACCCAGGCGAGCAATCTAGACTTTTCTCAGAGTCACGCGTACCATTATTTTTATGCATCATTCGATGAAATCAGAAGTGATCAGAAGTGGAACACGCACTTTTTGGTCCCATTAGCAGCCCTGCTTTTGTTTTGTGGCACCATTGGATGTTACGCAGCAACGCCGGGACAACGGAAAAGGAAGAAGAAAAAGAAAAAGCCCAAGAGGAAGAAAGGAAGCTGCCTGATTCCCACACTGAAGGGATCAGTTGGCAAACGTTGTTTTTTCCCTGCCAGGTTTTGCAAAAAACAGAGGGTCAAAGCAGCAAACACAAGAATTCGGCGCTTTGCACAGCGCTGTTGGAGCAAAAGACTGAAACCCAAATATGGCTGTTACAGAAAGAGACCTGTATACAATCATGCAGCAATTTGGACGAAACTCTCCGGTGGCCATGGAGGGGCTGGTTCTTTTGCAACAAGGAAAAGAAGAGAAAGAAAGGAGCAGCAGGTCAATCTGGCCGACATGCTGCAACAAACCTTAAACCAATGGATGCAAACACAGAGGGCACCCAAAAGACAGAAGGGTCCCGATGACACCATGCACCAAAATGCTTCTTTACTTTCTTTGCTTGAAAGTACTCTAGCAGATTGCCGTGCCCGTTGCGATGATGACATGGAAGTTGCACAAGCGGTGCAACAAGCCCTCAATGGTCATCAGAAACAGCAGCAAACGTTCTATCCAAGCAGCGCTCCTCCAAAGTCTTCCAAAGCTGACTCAGCTTGGTGGAACCAGACTGGGAATTACAATGAGAAAGAAAGCCATGGAGTTACGCCAGCAATGAGTGGTGGTGGGAGGAAGCAGAAGCAGAAGCAGATGTCTCAGCCCACCAACAATGGCAAAATGACTATGTCTATCACCGTGACTGGTATCAGCAGACAGCCACACAATCGAAAGTCTATCCAAGTATCACAGAACTGAGAATTTCCGAGTGGACCATGAAACCTGTTCTGATCCATTTGCAGACGCTCAAACAAAATCTCACGACTGGTGACACGATCGTGGGAAACATTATGCATATCAACACCAAGGCACAGCTGGAAGAGTTGCAGAGCTTGATAGATGCTCATGCATTAAATGGCAGTATGACTCTGATCCTCACTGATGAGGCCAAAGATACACCTGGTGCTTATCACACGCGTGTAACGGCCAAAAAGAAGAACCAAGTTAGCCGCCAACTTGATGTTTCGCTGATGGACGCAATCACAGGTTCCCGGGGACCATGGACGTTGCCTCCAGTTGAAATCATACAAACACAAGTCACAGCCATAAAGAGGGTTGCAGTGCGGCTGACAGCTGCTTCGCACTTCCGTGCCTACCTTCACAGCAGTGGCTACAAGGACACTCCAAACTCCGTGCTAGCAAGCGTTGCTAGCTTGCACCCTGACATCAAGGTCAGTCAGATATCTGGTGGAAAGTGGTGGTCTGAGACCATTCAGAGCAAAGTATTCTTGAACACAGTAATCCAGCTTCCCGTTGCTACTGCTGACCAGCTAGTGGCCCGAAGCGGAGAAGAAGGTGTCTTCGCATGCAAGCTTGGCGTGCAACATAATGACCAAAAAATCTTTTGGTTCCCCAGAGAAGGAAAGGAAAGTGATGAAGCATACCACCGTCGCCTTTTCACCATTGCGCAGTCGCGCAAAGAGGGGTTAAAGCTCAGGAAAGGTGGATCCAATGACTTGGGCCTCTTTGCATCGCCGCAAGACACAGCGGCCTTTGCCAGCAACTTCAGCCACTGGTGCGCCACTGGCTTTCCGCATGACTGGCAGCAGGAAGAGGTTCTTCAGTTTCTTCAGGAGCAAAACTGGGAAGAACCATGTATATTAAGTAGACAAAGCCAACGAAAAAGCAGACAAACTAGTTGGTGGATCAAAGCAAAGTCCCCCCAATCGGGATTGCCTTCGCAGACAGCTTGGGAATACCGAATTCCACCATCCACTAGAATATATATCCACAAAGCACCTCAAAAGGCACAGGCTTGTAAAGCTCAAGCTGTGCCAGGCCCTCGCAAACAATGGCGAGATGACCAGTCCGTGCCAGGGCCTCCAAGAACATTACGCGCACAAACACGCGCTGATGATGCCCCAGCGCGAAAGCGTAGTCTTAGCCCTGCAGCATCGGACATGATTGATGCAACCCAAATTGATCCAGCCACTCCGGAAGTGCCATCCCCGCCAAAAGCAGTGTCTGAATTGGAAGCCTTACTTCACGCAGGGTGGAAGAGACATGAGTGCGGGGGCGAAGGAGACTGTGGATACTTAGTTGTTTCGCAAGGGCTGGAACTCAATAAAAATGGGCAGTTTCTGGATGCCGAAACTGCGCAACGAAATGCATCCAATCTTCGTGCAAGTGTGTTTCAACATATTCGCAAACCTCAACACTTGGCTCGATACAGTCAGTTCTTTGCAAGCGATCCTGCCTCAGGAGAAAAATTTGATTCATTTGAAGCATGGATTCAAGCCACCTCCAAGAAAGGTGCTTGGATTGATGGTATGCAGATTCAGGCAATTTGTGAAAAGACAGGAACTGTTCTGATCCTGTGGAGTTGTGATGTCCAGAAGGATGGCACGGAAGTCTGGCAACGTTACACCCATGCTCCACGATTTTCAAAGGGTATCGCATGCCAAGCCAAAGGTTGCCAACCAATCGCAGTGACGCTCCAAAGCGGGCATTACCAGTTGCTAATCCCACCAACTGGCACCAAATTTCCAGAAAGGTGGTTGCGTGAGACTGATATCCCGCCTTCTCAGAAACTAGCCGGTGCTGGCACGAACACTCCAGGGTCCACAAACCCTCGCAACAAAAAGGCAGATTCTGATGTCAAGCCAGCTTCTTTTGCGGAATCAGTGCCAAGCACCCCATCGGTACATACGTGTTTTTTCAGCCCAGATGGATCGCATAGTAAAAAAGCTAGCAGCAAAAATGTGCCAATCAAAGTTGCTCAGCAAGCCAAATCTTTCCAGCCTGACACTCCCTCGGTTCACACTGTGACCTTCAGCCCTGAAAGATCACCAAGTGAATCAGCCACAGGATCTAAAGCGAGTAAAAAACGTAGTCACACTTTTGTGCCCAGTATGTTGGACCTTTCCACCAAGAAGAGGAAAACCAATCCAGTGGTTTCCGCAACCGAGACGTGTGGTATTACTAAACGTGAGCCTTTTGTTCAGCTGCCCGACCTTATCTCTGTTTGGTGGACTTGCACGTGCGGTTTTCAGGTCTTGAAGCACAAAGACCTCACGTGTCATGGGCCGCGTCGCAAAAAACACTTAAATCAGGTTCACGGAATCCAATATTCTGACATGCCGCCTGACCCTCCGGGTGCTCCTGGTGAGGGAGTCCAAACCAAGCGGGAAGAAAGGTCCAAGCGGTGCCAAGCTTGGTTGCTGTTGGCAAAGAAGCGCGGGTGGGCAGGCATGCATGAGCTCACACCTGTCAACATAGGCTGGCGCCGATGGAAGTGTCAAGCCTGCGATGAATCCTTCACCCATTGGAATCGGGGCGTGCAAACATTGTGTTCTGCCAGCAATGCCGCTGGTGGCTCCAAGTTGCCCAGCATTGCCAAACGATTGCAACTCGCCAATCAGTGGTGGGCTCAAACTCTGGAATCGATTGCAAAGGAGAGAGCGGAGAGCCAAGACCTTTTGAATCACTTCTCCTTTTTGAACAACCAAAAAAGACTTAGCATGGTAAATAGTTTATCATCCCCTCCCAAATTGTTTGGGGGCATTCCACTAATGCCATCCGAAGCTGATGGCGGTCACACAAAATTTTGGTGGTCGTGTTCACTGTGCGATTTCAAAATTTCCCTAGCTGAGCCATCTTCGGGCCGCTCGTACAAACGCAAAAACCACTTGCAAAAAGTACATGCCTGGCGTAAGGTCCCCCCAATCCCTAGGCAGGGTTTTGCTGTCCAAGCGGTCCAAACTTCTCAGTCCGTGGTCAAACAACGTTGGGAACACAGGGTTGCTGAATTCCAAAAAAGAGCTTGGGCCGGTGCACATGACATAGGAAGTAAGGCAGTTTGCGTCACTCTTTACACATGCAAATCGGGTAAAGTGTTACAGTACCCCCGATACCAGTGCAAGCGGTGCTGCCGAATGGTTACGGCAGGTGATTTGCCCATCTCTATTTGTTCCTCCCATCCTCGCTGCAGCAAGGCACCTAGTCTAAAGCGCAGAAAGCAAATTTGGCAGACATGTCTTAAGGTTGCTGCGAGACTTAGCAAAGTCGCTGATGGTGTTCGTGCAACACGTCGAGGGCACCGAGCCCAACGGATAGGTGAAGCTTCACACCCAGGTCCTTGTCCCGTCGTCAAGATGTGGAGCCAAAACATTCGTTCCTGGCACACCAATGGTATGGCCTGCTTGGATAGGGCTCAGACTGCAGGTATTTCGCTGGTGGCCCTACAAGAAATGAACATCACGTCAACCAATGCGCCGGCAGTCGTCAATGCATGTCTAAGGCACGGTTGGCAAATGCTGCAAGTCCCTTCTCCCCAAGGTACTTCCAACCGAGGGGGCGTCGCTATCTGCTGCCGTGAGCCACTTGGGTTAGTTCTTCTCGATACTTGGAGCGATCCTCAGGGCCAGTTTGTGCTGGCCGAAGTACACGGAGGAAATAAATCCTTTAAACTCTGCAGTTATTATCGCCATGCTGATGATGAAGATTTCCAAGGTCTTACCCGTATTAGCCAGACTCTGTCTAGTGACATGGACCAAGCTTGGATCGTAGCTATGGATGCCAATACGAATCAAATGGCTGGTACTTGCGCCACTCTGATGAACGAAATCAAAGGTTGCTGCCGGGCTCATGCTGGTCACAATTCCAGTAGGTTTCCAATCGACGGTATTTGGTCCTCGCTGGATCTTCGCCCGACTGCTGCCTTTTCGTGGCAGCCAGGGGACGGAGATCACTCTTTAGCTGAAGTCCATTGGGAAGTCCAAACGCAAAAGCCTGGACGCCAACAGTTCAGGTTTGCTCACACCAGGAAAATGGCTGAACAGAATTTTCCTTCTCAGCAGGAAGCTTGGGCTCTCAGCTGTACATCAGACGAGAGATGGACAGAGGTGCTCAGCAATGTGGACCAGGCTTGGATAGTTTGGTGTCAAGATATAGAAACGTGGCTGACCCGCAATGGTATTTTAGACCAAGGTCGACCTGAACGGCCACTGGGCTCAGCGCCCAGGGTTCAAACCAGCACTCATGCTATGGGCCCTTTGCAGCCCCTTGCTGAGCGGAAGCTCCGTCGCTGGATTCGGCGTTTGCAAGAAGCTCGGAAGTTCAGTCACCTCGGGTACCAACTCAACCCGGGTTTGCAGAAAAAACTTGAATCCACCAGGGATGTGCCTGCTCCTGAAAAGCAGGCGGTCCGTCAAGCAGCTTTCGGTCTGGCAGAACGTTTAGCTCACGGCAGGCTCCAGGCTCTTCTTCAAAATAAATCTAGCCAAAAGTTAAACAAATGGAAAACTCAGGTCACAGACCACAGCGGCGCTTGCAAATGGGTTAAATTGACTGAGGTTGGATCTCCGGTTTTGCAAGATGAATCCGGTCAGATCCTCACTTCCAGACCAAGAGCTCTCGCTGCACTCCATACTTTTTGGTCTCGCACTTTTGGGGACTGCTTTGGACTCATGGGATCAGTTTTCTGAAGTTTTTCAAGAACATTTTCCCATGCCGGCCCAAACTGAAGCATTGCCTCCTATCACAGGCAAAGACATTATTCGCGTAGCCAGGAAAATGAAAGACAAAGCAGGAGGGCCGGATGGGATCACACCCCGTCACCTCACGTGTTTGCCACAACTGGCGATTGACAGGTTCGCCCAGATCCTTCAGACATGTGAAAACATTGGCCGTTGGCCCACGCAGGTGCGTCACTGGAAAATTTGCTTCCTGCCTAAGGCTACCACTCGAAAGGGAGTAGTCGCAGGTTTAGGGGATGTTCGTCCAATCAGTGTAGGCCCCACTGCCTACCGCATTTGGGCAGCCATCAGACTTCAGCACTGCAAATCTTTTGTGGAGGGTCTTCTGTGTCAAGATCAGGCTGGGTGCAATGGGTTAGCAGCGCAGGATTTGTTACTCACCATGGAAAACAAGTACCAAGCTCAGGATTGGCCATATGCCATGGCATTAGACCCGCAGAAAGCTTTCGATACCACCGACTGGACCGTGTGTCTTAAACTCCTCAAACACGCAGGTCTTCAGGCACCTATCCTTAAACTCCTGCAGGACCAATGGGACCACCACGAAAGGTGGCTCAGCTATCGCGAGGCAATTGATCCCGCCCCGCTCAAAAACACAGCCGGTCTCCCCCAAGGAGACCCATGGTCTCCAATTGCCATGAGCGCTCTAATGGCCGTTGCCAGTCGTTTCGTCCTCAGCCAGGAACCAAACGCCAGGTCCTTAATTTATTTGGACGACAGGACATTAGTCGCCACAAGCCGACAGGCCTTGAACCAAGCGCTTCAGGCTTGGGAAGTTCTGTTCCAAAACACTCGTCTTCGCAATAATGCATCTAAACAACAATTCTTGCCACGAACCTTGGATGCTTGGGTCGAATGCCTGCAGCTTGGCATTCCCTTTCAAAATACGGCCAAAATTTTGGGTGTTTGTATGGGTTTAATTCCCCGTAGTAGGACTGAGGAGGAACAGAAACGTTCTGATAAAGTGGCACAGGTCGCTCGTCGAATAGCGCTCCTGCCCACAGCTAAGGCTTTCAGGAACTCGGTTGCAGTCAGCGTCTTGGCGCCCACTGCCTCCTGGGGAGCTCTTTTCAATGGTCGGTGTCCGACAAAACAGGAATGCCAGGCCTATGCTCAGACCTGGCGATGTGCAGTTCAAGGTTTTGATCATCCAGGGGGCCACGACTCTCGTGACCTCACAGCTGTAATGGCTATGGGCCACTGTTCTGACCTTTTGTTTCTAAGTACCCAACGGTTTATGACGGCTCTTCATAAGTGGGCGCTTCGTCCAAATCAGATCGCCATCAATTCAGCTCCTATCAAAGCGTTGCAGGCTGCTGTCCAACGCCTGCAAGGTTCTTGGACTCCCGAGGTGGGGTTCTCTTTTTTCAACGGCCGGTGGCTGACTAGCATGCCGGTAGGTTTCATTTCAAGGTGTCAACATTTGTTTCGCCAGCATTGGCGTACAACGAGGTTCACCGCTTGGGTGCAATCTGAACGCATTGATTCTCAGCTTGCCAGGGCACAAGGAATCCATGCGACTGAGGAACTCATTGACAAACTTAGGTCCTTTGCACGTTCTGCAAGTGGTGATCAGGTGGCTGTGCTCTGTGGGGGCATTACCACTGATGCTCATATTGAGGGCCTCCGAGAATTTTGTCCGGACTGTCACTGCGTTGTCTGTCCTTCTACTGAGCACGTTCTTTGGCAGTGTGAAACTTGGAAAGATCATAGGGTGTTTGACCAACCCACCGATCCCATGTGCGCTCGCATGGGCTGGAATCAAAATGGGGTGCACCCCTGTTTGGGCCAAATGGCCACGATCCGCGCAGTGGCTGCCGAGGCCCGGATGAAAAGATTGCGCCTTGGCAGGGCCCCCTGTGTGGGGGGCACCGTCCTGTAAGGACCCCTGAGCGCAGCTGTGCTGCGCTCCTTTTCTGGCCGCTACACCGCCTCCGGGTGCCAGTGTGCGGCTTCAGCTTCAACAACCTCATCAGCTTTGGCGACTGGGACGGGGATGGTGATGTAGATGTTATCACACTCACAAGTGAAGTTCAAGACTACAATGCTGATTCATACTTGCTTCATTTCTACGAAAGGATTTCTGTTGGCCTGCAGGAAAAGGTTCCAAATCCATTTGCCAATATTAGCTTTCCTTGTAGGCCTCGACTCTTGACAACTGTAGATTGGGACAGTGATGGTGACTTGGATTTGGTCGTGGGCCCGACGCTTTGTCACAATTTCACTGAACTACAAGCTCGATTTTTTGAGCAGTTGGAGGATGGAAGTGTGCACCAGTGGCCTTTACACCTAAACCCGTTTCGTAGTATAGACAGAATCTTTATCTCTGTTATCCAAAAGTGGGCCTTTTTGGACTGTGATGCAGATGGGGACATGGACCTCGTGCAAGTTCAATCATATGACTATAATCGGAGAAAATCCCAACTGCTTGCTTGTGAGCAAGTCGACATGTATCATTTGCGATGTGACCCTGACTATTTATGTTTGGGTACTAACCTTAGCGCTTTCGGGCAGCATATCTACTACAAGACGATGGGAGGTATATCCTATGCAGATGTTGGGGACGTGAGTGATGGCCACTTTAAAATCCATGGCCATGACAATCAGAAGGGTGCGGTGCTTTGGAGCGCTGGCTTCTGCATTCCTAGCAAGCCAAACCATCCATGCTACCAAAAGGGAATCTGCTTGCCAAGACATGCGAACTGCAGCTGCCTTCCAGGTTATGAGCTGCAGGATTGTTCTGGCTGCAGCCAGAATTTCTACAGTGTGCCAGTCTCAGGACAGATGCACAACTGCAAGGCCTGCCCGGGCGATGGCGAGGTCTGTCACGGTCGAGGCCATTGTTTCGATGACGAAGCCGCGAAAGCTTTGCCTGAACTCTTTGGTCCTGCTGTGGCGCGGGGCAATGGCTCATGTACCTGCAATGAACGTCATTTCTATGGAACGGACGAAGATGGGAGGAGTGTCTGCTCAGAAGGAACGTGTCCAGCGGGTACAGAAGAGAAGGATGGCAAGTGTCAGGTTTGTGAAGCGGGCTCATCGTCGCGAGAAGGGGGTCTCTGCAAAAAGTGCAGGTCCGGAACATATTCTTTGGAAGGAAGCGGCAACTGTTCCACTTGCCCCCCAGGCAGGATCTCTAAGACGTCAGGCGCTTCGGGGTGTGACGCATGCCCGGCAGGTACATATGAAGTTGACCAACAGCTGTACAACAATTGCCTTCCTGGCTTTGCTTCATCCGGTGGAACAAACTCATGCACCAAGTGTCCAGCTGGCTTCCATGCGCCAACTCCTGGTAGCAGCGCTTGCGAAGCTTGTCCAGCTGGCAAGTTTGCTGAAGGTAGCGGCACAGGCAGTACCTATTGCCAGGTGTGTCCTTTGGGGACGATCTCAGGTGAAATGAGACCAGCTTGTAGCAAGTGCAGTTCAGGTCAGTTTGCCCAGAAATCCATATCGTGCGAAGCATGTCCTGCTGGGACCTTCGCCTTTGAAGGTAGCCATACTTGTCAAAGATGTGAGTCTGGTCATGTGTCTGGCCCGGGCAGTGCCTCCTGTTCGACTTGCGAGCATTTGCTGATCCACGCAAAACCTGATGATATGAAGCAGACCTGCCAAATTGCAATTGCTGATGTTTTTCTTGCGCTGATCTCCTCAATCACATCATCTGGCCTCTGCTTTCTATGTCTTCTCGGCTTCTGGGGGACCTTCCAGATTGCTGATGTTTCAGCACAGGGATCGAAGCTGGTGATAACAACATCCATGTGGCATCTTCTCTTGAAATGGAAGTGGGCATGCCCAACTGTGACTTTCGTGGCTACAGGGGTGCCTGAATTAGAGAAGCCAGAGCGCACGTGGACCGTGAAAGCCTTGAATATTGGCCAGCTGATGTTGGAGAGCAGCCAAAAAATTGCCACGCCAGTGGACACTTCCATGGGTTTGGTGCGAATGAAATTCCTTCATCCTTTCCTTTCAACTGGTATGTGGCACTGCCCACTCATTTGCTGGTGCTTGCTATTCTTCATCGCCACCATGGCCTGCATGAGCCAGCTGAGGTGGTCCCTTTGTTTGGTGGTTTGGGGCCTCGGTATTTGCGTGGGTTCGTCGCATGTTTGTCTGCGGCACAGCACAGGCTTGAGGGTCACAGACATGGACAATTCTGTGGACTTAGTTTGATGATGTTGGATGTATAGCTCAGATAATTCCAGGGCTGGGTTTGTTTCTGCCATTGTTATGCCATTGTTTCGTCGCAAGTGACGAGGTTCATGCCTTAAGTATCCGTAAAGAAAGCCGAGAGAACCTTCTCCTTTGGGTCAGGTGAAGCATCCCCCAATGTCCCCTGCGAGGTTGGGCTCTCAGACGCCCTTGGCCAAAAGGCGGCGCCGGTTCCTGAAAGAATGGCCATTGATGCAGATGCCTTGCAGCCGTGGGCCTGATCGGGCGATAAAAGCGGGACAGCTTCATGACCTCTTCGAGTGTCTTGGTGGGATGAGACGGTGTGTCATGTCATGTCGAAAAGATTTATGATTGAGTAGTCCGCGGTGGCTACAGAAGGGTCTTCTGCCAACATTTAAAAATACAAAAAACATATAAAAAATACAACCCAAAAATACAAAATCAGAACTGCAGGGTTTGGGAAATACAACTGGTTGGTTTTGCATTTTTTTTTGCAATTTGTTTCCTGATTTCCATAGTGAACACGGGGTTGGCTCTCTGGCTTATTTTTGAATTTGTCTTTTCTTTGTATTTTGTATTTTTGAAATTTTGAGTTCGTATTTTTTTGTATTTTGTATTTTTGAAATTGTTGATTCGTATGTTTTTTTGTATTTCGTATTTTTGAGCAATTGAATTCGTATTTTTTGTATTTTGTTTGTAAAAATAAAAAACAAAAAATACAAATAAAATACAAAAAAATACACTTTGTATTTTTTTCGTACTTTTCCATTACGTCCAAAAATGCAATTTGTATTTTTGTATTTTTTTTGTAGTTTTCCAGTCCTTCAGATTGCACTGTCCCTTTTGTATTTTTTTCGTTCTTTAGACATGCCGTCAAAGAACAAAACCGCGAATCCATCAATGTATGTTGTATTTTCCTTTTGTTGATGATTTTTCTTCATCATTGATATATTTTTTTTGTAATTTGGAGTTGTATTGTTTTTTGTATTTTTGTATTTTTAATGATTACAGGGTTCACAGTCTGTAGCAGACCCCCGACTACTCAAATTTATGAGGTAACTTCATGTAACTTCTGGTTAAAGTTGCGTGAATATTTTTTGGGACTGATACCAATACCTTGAAGTTTTCGGGATGGCCAGTGTTGGATTTGAGGTTCTGCGATGTTTTCATCAAGGAGCGGTCTATGTACTACTTGTGTTCAAACATAGTGAAACCTGTCACCGCGCCTTTTCAGATGTCGTTCGCAGAGCTTGTGGGATCATCGAAGCTGGAGTGGTTTGTCAGCCACTACTGGGGCATGCCCGTGCGTCATTTCAACAATGCCATCAGGAAACATGCAGACTCATGCAGGCCAGCTGAAGAAGACTGGCGTGAATCAGCATACTGGGTTTGCACCTTCAGCAACAGCCAGTGGCACGTACCGGAAGAGCTTGGAAATGGACATGTGGTGGAGGATTCTTCTTTCTATTTGGCACTAAGGAGCCCTGAATGCATGGGTACCACCATGATTATGTCTTGCCCTTAAAGAGGATATGGTGCATCTTTGAATTGTACCAGACAATACACCTTTCACAAAGTGCTCACTTTCGGGGGTTGCTCTTGTGTACTTCCACAGGCGTTTTGCAAGAAGGAAAAGCTGGCACAGATATAGCCGTGGCAGTTGCAAGAACAGCCAAAGAGCTTGATACGCGCAGCGCGGAAGCAACATCGGAAGAAGATCGGAAGATGATCCATTCTTTGATCGAGAAAATGCCTGGTGGCTTCAATGCAATGAACACCTTCGTGCAAAAAACGATTTGTAGTGCGTTGGAGGCCTCCCATCTTCACTTTGAGAATACCTTCAAAGATCTGGTGCGAGATTTGGCCAAAGGCATTTCCATTGAACCCAGCTCCAGCTCCGCTAATCCAGCGATCTTGACCAGCAAGCCACACCAGATGGGCTGCGGTAAAACAGCGACGAATTGATGGATGCACATGTCTTGGTCGCACAAAGATGCCCAAAGAAGGCGCCTTTGAGATATGGAGATGGCATGCTATGAAGAAGCTTTTGCCATGCGGAAAAATGCCAGATTCAGATAAAGTGTTCTGATAATGATAAGTTAACCGCATTCAAGGTAAATTTTCGTTTTCTATATTATTTTATGCAATTTTATTTTTTCTCCCCTGTCCGTTTCAACGCCTTTTCACTCGGATTTCTTCCCCCGTCAGTCATTCCCTATTGCAATTCTCCTCCCCTTTTTGCACCTCCCCTCTGCGGACGTTAGCTATAAGTTAGCTATATGGTATGTGCACATTGGCATGTGTATTGAATAATTACATACCTAGTAGAATATCACAGAATTATAATTATATAAATGGGAAATGATGCGAATATAGACGGTTCCTATTTTGATTTCTCCTTGTATGCTCTTCCTTATTCAAACCAGTGGGGTCCATGCGGCACACCGATTTGATAGGGTTTTGTGGGGTTAGGATGATCTCGTTTGTGATGTTGCGCGCGACATTTTTCATTGAAGTATTCCGGTACGGGTACTTTCCTTGAATAATACATGAATAATAATAGTGGCATATGTGGCAGTCTTAATCCTCTTTGCAATTTCCTCTACAAAATCGCAAATGTTAAGCTTGGGAACATGGTGCATTTTAGGGCCCTCCTTTGTTTAGGGGTACCTACACAGTGTCAACGTTTGCAATTTTATAGAGAACCTTGGTGTCAGCGATTCTATAGAGATTTCATGTTGAAAGCAGGTTGACACTGAAAATTTGTAGCAAGAGTAACTGGAGTATTCAGGTTAGCTGGGGAATCTGATTTTATAGAAGGCCAACGAACCCCCTCAACCAAAAAAAGGCTTTACGAGAGTGATTTGGTATCAACTATTCTATAGAAAATGATGCTCATAAACAACGTCAATGACAGCAATTCTATAGAGATTGTCAATTTGAAAATGCCCTGGCGTCTCTGATTTTATGAGAGACATAACATGTCGACTAACAAGTGCAGACTTGATGTGTTTTGGAGGGTGGGTGGGTCCAAGCCAGTGAGCCTGCCATTTTGGCTCAAGCTGGCTCTGGATTTCAAGGCAAGGATGTCACGCACAAATCGAGAAGTGTGACGTCGCGAGGGCCGGCATGGCAGCAATCTTTGGGTCCTGGGAAAGCATGCGAGACATTCGCACCATGGATGATGCATTGGACCACTTTCGTGTTTCTGATGCACTGTGGGCGGCGATAGAGGTTCAGGTGGGCAGCCCAGGATCAGACCTTAGGCTACTGGCAGCGCTGCCCCGCTCCGCTCTAATTACGGGGTGTGGTAACGCTGTCACCGATCAGGGAGGACTGACGGCCATGCAGGCCACTCAGGTGGGACTGGTATGGCGACTTGCTCGTAGAGCCATTGCAGCACAGAGTGGGGTTGCAGAGGAACAGTTCGTAGACGTGGACCCGTGGTCTGAGACGTCGGAGGGCGACCGTGGAGATACAGCCCAACATGAACCAGCTCAGAGGACGGGGGGAGGTGTGAAGGAGAGAGTGCTCAAAATGAGCAGTCTCATCGACCAGCAAGATGAGTCGGAATTGCTACCCCCCAATCCAAGTGATGTTGATCGTTGGTACCAAAATTATGTGGTCACTATGGGAGCCCAACCAGATGAAGCTGAAGAACCTACACCCTCCCAACTAGCGGCCTTACATAAGAAGGTGTTCATCGAGAACAGGGCCCCCTATTGTGACTTCAGCGTTTGGACACCGTTTGAACGGAGGATGAGCCGGGTGCAAAAGTGCCGAGTGTACACACCGCTGGGAAATGGGTCCTACTTACAGAAGGACTTGCCGGGCCCGAGCACTCATGCAGCGTGGAAGGCATCATGGAACGTCTTCAAGGCAGCGTGCATCATGTTGAACATTTGCAGCTTGGCTTCGATGGAGGCTTACTCACGGCAGATAGAGCGCCTCATGATGCAGTGGCCAAGGTGCTGGGGTCTTGTCTACTTGGCAGACGACTCGGCGAGGGCAGAGCGTTTGGAGAAGACCCGGAGGAGGGTTACTATCGAAGCTGCACAGGGGCGCCAGACACCAAGGGACTGGGACCCATCTCGACCCTGGTCCTGCATCTTTATCATGTTGGCTGGGGACATGGAGTTTTGGGCAGAGAGGGTGCATCACCCGGCAGCGGCGTGGGTCGCATCAGGGGGCCGAGGAGCCCCTACGGTGGCTTCCGAAGCTGCAGTTTTAGAAGCTATTGAGGGCGGAGACAAAGCTCTTGCTGGTGATCACGAAGTTGCCCAAGGAAGCCATGAGTCCAAAAGGACCCAATCCAATCGAGACAGACGTTTGGCAAAACGCAAGAGACAGGTAGCAGAAAGAGAAGAGTTGGCGAGACACAGGGCTTCGGCGGCAAGTTCAAGCAAAGGACATTCAGCGGCCAAGGGCAAGAGCAAAGGCAAGTCCCGGGATCAGTCGGGATTGGAGATTTGCTACAGCTGGGCAGCCGGGAAGGGACATTGTGAAAGTGTTCCACCTGGTGGAGAGTGCAAAGGGCCAACAAAGCGGGTCCACAAATGTAGACTCTGCTTATCACCTTCACATCGGGATGCTGACTGCAAAGCAGGCTGACCTTGAAGATCGAGGACTGGAAAACAAGGGCAGTCAAAAACCCCCCCCGTTTTGTTGAAGGTGATTTCAATGGTTTTATTCTTTAAGTTTGGGATTGGGTTGAAAGTTGAAGTGCATGTCATTTGAACGAATTTTGATTTGAGTTGTGCGTTTGAGTGTGCCTGATCTGACCGCCTGCACATGAGTTTGATGTGGCATGGATTTCATTTGAATCTAAAGGATTGTGAACTTGGCATGTCATGGCAGTTATCTCAGGCATGTTGGAATGTACACTCAGCTCGTTTGCCGCAGCCTGGGCTGAAAGGCCTTCCCCTTTTGCCCCATGGCAGAAGGAGGCAGGGAGGCCGAAAGAACTGACCTTTCGTCGCCTGACTATGAGGGCGATGAGGAACCAAAGGTGGGAACTGTGACAGCCGAGGCAGCAGGCAGCGGGCGGCGAAACAAAAGGGAAGCAGATAGAGTTCCACCTGGTGAAAACAACACGGAGGGCGAGGAAAGGGACCAAGATAGGTTCTGGCTACCTGAGAGGGTGAAGAACGCCCTGCAGAAGAGCCGCAACTTTGACGAGTTTCGGAAAGCCAGACCGTTCAGGTTCCTCCACATGTTTTCGGGAGAGGCGGACCAGTTGGGAGCCTCAATAAAACGTGAAGCTCAAAGGGCCAGGCTGGAGACGTATGTGGAAGCCCTGGACCGAAAGAAGGACAAAGAGATCAACCTGGCAGACCCGAAGGTTTATGATGAGATTGACAAGTCAGTAGAAGGAGGGGAATGGGATGGGTTTCACAGTGGATTTCCCTGTGCCTCCTTCTCGCGAGTGAGGTGGCGAGACTCACCGGGCGGCCCCATGCCCGTTAGGAGCGCTGCCCATATCTATGGGCTGCCAGGCAACACTCCGAGCCAACAGAAAGAGGCAGACGAGGGCACCTTGATGGCTACTCGTTCGGCATGGTTGCACAAGAAGCAGGTGGTGGCGTGCCAGAAGCGGGGGGTTCCAGAGGTGTCCACACTGGAAAACCCGCCGGGGGCAAAAGACTCTGGTTCGGCATGGGATCTACCTGAACTACTGCAGGTGGTACAAGAGACAAAGTCGTCCACGGTGGAGTTCAACACCTGCGCATACCAAACGAAACTTCGAAAGAGGTGGTTCAAACCGGCCAGATGGACGGGGAAGCTGGAGACCCTGGGCAGCCTGGCAAAAGTTTGCAAATGTCCGGCATGGGTGGAGCACGTGCCGTTGCCGTTGATGGGAAAGCAGAAGACCGAGGCGGCAGGGGCCTATCCGGAAGAGCTGACGGACGCAGTGGCCAAGAAGATCGTGGAGACTTGGAAGAGGGTCTTGAACTTGGAGTGGTTGAGATACCAATTCAAGATGAAATCCAACCTCATCAACAAGCTTCAAATCCAATGGCTCGAGAACGAAGAGAGGAGACGGAAGCGGGTCTATGAAGACAGCGCGCCAGAAAACCAGCAGGCTTTGTCATCGGAGCCAAAGAAAGTGGTCCGAGAATGGTGTGTTTTGTACATTTTGACTTCGACATGTGCTTCGCGCCACAACGGCATGCACTTTTTCGACATCTCAACTTCCAAAAGTGGTCGAATCCCTGGTGTTTTTTGTACGTTTTGACTTGGAAATGTGCTTCGCGCCGCAACGGCGTGCACTTTTTAAACATCTCAACTTCCAAAAGTGGTCCGAGAATGGTGTGTTTTGTACATTTTGACTTCGAAATGTGCTTCGCGCCACAACGGCGTGCACTTTTTTCGACATCTCAACTTCCAAAAGTGGTCCGATGCTGGTGGAGGTAAAGATGCTGGAGGCCAATGACAAGGAGGAAGAAACATTGCCATCCTCGTCGACAGGGCCATCGAAAAAGAGAATCAGGGAGGATCAAAACGACCACGCAATTGGAGGGATGCGCAATCCCGCCATAGCAGTAGCGAGACTACATCAGGTCCAGAGAGTGGGACAACAGATCAGTGACGCTTGGGCGGTGTTTGCAGGAGATCACCCTGAGGTGTTGGACGCGGCCAAGAGCTATGGATCGAGGGAGGCAAAGATCGACGTGGAGCTCTTAGATGCTTGGAGAAACAGACTCCAAGAATTGTTGGAGGTAAAGCCCATGGACGGCATCACACTGAAGGAGCAGGTTGAGTTTGCCTCCCCGCTCAATGCGGCGCTATGGGACGCTTGGAGAATGGCGTCCAGAGACCCGGAACAGTACATCGGGCAGTGGGCGAGAGAAGGGGTCCCGCTTGGCATGGACATGGAAGTGCCGGCGTCGGGCATATACCCCACAGTGGACCCGCAGGAACCCTTGGAGACAAAGATGGACATGGCTGAGTTGAAGAACTTGCGCAACTACGAGTCCGTAGAAACGCAAAAGGAGGAAGCATCCATCGAGGTGGACAGGTACCTGAAAAAGGGTTTCTGTCGAGTCCTGTCATGGGAG